ATTCCCAACTCCAGGCTGGTTCTACTGCCTGGTTGAATGGGGAATTACAGTAAGTCCCACAACCAGTATAACCATCTTAGTATATAGAAGCAAAAGTCAATGGGATTTGGGCGCTGCTCCGTTAAGTCTTTCAGAAGGTTGAGTTCCAATCAGTCAAATCATAGCCGTCCAAGAGCGTTGTCGAACTGTTTTGATTTTTTCTTCGCCTGCTGTGACAAGGGCTTGGGAGCCAACCACCCAAGTTTCCTTTGACTGGGCTCCTGAAAATCACATTTTGAGTTCTCAAGAAAACCAGTGGGGCCACCCCTGACACATCCCTTGCCATGAGAGATGGGCCCAGTTTCCAGTCCATGGAGAATTGATGGATTCGCCAAGGAGCCCCTGCGGCCGGTGAGAGGTTCATAGGTGATGGGTTCCCTTAGGTCCGTCGAGCTTTTGAAAGGGGTTGGGATGGACCCCCCAGAGGTATAGTTGTTGGCTTCAGGAACCCCAAGGAAGGCGACATAAGGCGACCATGGCTGGAATACCTGATTTTTGATATGCGAAAGGAATTCGGAGAACCACAATGGAGTCCTATGCAAGCCATGACACGTCCTACCAACCTTAAATGGCTTGGATTGGGGGGTTGTATTTGAACCAGGAAGTAAATGGGAAACTATGCCCCGAACTACCAACTCCCAGAGCACCAATTCGAGGAAAGCTGAGCTAGAGTTTTGCCTGATCAGGTTGCTCCAGACGTGGTGAGCCTCAGCGCGAGCATCTCTGCCTGTCGGAAGGTGATGCAATGGCAGCAGGCCCTGCACTTGTTCGCTTCAATGCACGGCTTCACGCCCGGACTCCGCAAAGTTTTTTTTTTTTTTTGTTTTGTTTTGTTTCCCCTCCTTCCCTTCGGCCCTTCGGCCTGGATGTGAAGGGTTTCAGGTTTCAGTACATCCATCACGTTCCTTCAGGCTTCGTCAAGAGTTGCTTTGCTGCCTGTCCACATCTGTCCACGATTTTCCGCTTGGCCCGCTCAACGTCTTCCATTTGCGGAAGGTGTGAAAGGGAAATGGTACTCGCAAATATGTTGTTCTTGGAAGGCACTAGAAAGACACACATTGGGGGACGAGGGGTGGGGCCAACAATATGGGGCCCCTTTTTTGGTTGGCTTCTCAAGCGGGAAACTCAACAGACACCACTCAGTTGTTGGGATTCCTTTTGTTGGAAACACTCAGATTGTCTCAGCATGCTCCCCCAGAAGCAGTCCCTTTTGAGACATAAATGGTTGCAGTCCTCTCGTTGCCCCCTTCCTTTCACAGCTTCGTGCCGGACATGGGCTGGCTCGGCCGAGGCTTCGGGATCCGTCCCAACGTGGTCAGCTTCAATGCTGCCATCAGCGCATGCGCAAAGGCAAGCTGGCAGCACGCCTTGGCCCTCTTCACGGCGATGCCTCTGGAGGAGGCCGCAGCGATGTGTTCGAGGCGTTGCTTCAATGGACCCAGTGGTGAGTGGTGAGGTGAGAAGCTTGGGGAGTCATGCCTCACTCTTATGTGTGTGTTTGCCGGATCGGGTGCATTTGCAGGAGAGTACTCTATGATTCAGCAAGTAGCTGGGTCACCCATTTGGAGGTAGTTTTCCCAAACTCAAGTCAAGGTGTTAGCCACAGATCCGCCAATATTGGGCCATTACTGGTGCCCTTGATGAATAGAAGACCCGCCCTTGCGTTTTCAAGCCCTGATGCAGATCTTTTAGAGCAAAGCAACCCCGCAACCACAAACCACATATGGGTGTGTCTTCTTTCTTTTTTGTCTGGGTGCTTTTTTTGTGGTTGAGCAGGGAAAAGTCCAATAAGAAAACCACAAATTGTTGGGATCCCCTAAAACATAACACCAATATATATATATATATAGCCGAGGTTTCCATCATACACCATGCAAATCACGCTTTACCTAGTTGGGCTTTGTGGGGTAGTCGTCCATCCAATCCAACGTGCACTTCGCATTATCATCATTAATATAGATGAAGAGAGCCACCAGAACCATGCAAATGCAGGCCATGATGCACTCGTTCCGGTGGATGCCCACGTTGCAAGTCGGGAAAACAGCTGGATCCCCCTGAAACTCACCTCCCCTTCCCCCCACATGTCACCCGCTGCCTCTCGAAGATTTGGATGGTATGCAGCAACACCAGGAAACCCTCTCCAAGGGCCCATGTGGATGGCAGGTCGTCGGTAGACCCGAGCCGGGTTCCGGTTGCTCGAAAGCCGTGCCCTTGGAGCCCAAGACACCCAACATGAGGCCCTCTGACCGCCAAACGTACCTTAAACGAGGTCCTGGCCCCGCGGGATGGGTCCAAAATGGCCAGCCGCCCCGTTGCCCATTGAGACGCATGGGCATAGGTGTCCTTTTTGGTTGTTTTGGTGGAAAAATAGATCTATTTGCCCTAAAAGGACACCTATGCTCATGGGCATTGGCCCAGGTGGCGCCCAACGTTGTGACCTTTACCGCGGCCATCACCGCTTGCGTCGAGACGGACGAAGACGCCTGGGAGAAGGCGGCGAGACTGTGCGCCCCGAAGGGCGGTGCCTCTAGATGTGTTTTTGTTGTTTTTGTTTTTTTTTGGTGTGTTTCTCCTTTTTTGTTCTTCTTTTTTTCTTTTTTTTTTATCCCTTTTTTTTTCTCCTTTTGTTTTAATGTGTGGAATCAGTGGAGTTCATTTGGTCTACCTTTGGTGTTCAAAATAGTTGGTTTTTTGATTGGTTTCCCAATTGGCGGCTCGTGCGTCTCTAAATGGGTGCTTTGGGGTTGAATCAAGCACACCTTGCCTTAATATTCAGTGGTGTTTCTTTGGTTTATCGAGTTGAAACCAGTTCATTCCAGGTCCCTTGAAGCCCCCTGTGTTTGGTTGGTTCGGGACTCGGCAAAAAGGTGTTCCCGTTTCCTGACAGGGTCAGTGGGCATTTGGTCTACATATGGGTTTGCTCTCAATAGGGAAACCATCACACACACAATTTGGGTGTGGTGTCCTTTTTGAACTCCCTCGCCCCCCCCCCCCCAACAAAAACACAACCACGAAACACACACACACACACATATATCACGGACGACTATGGATCAAAATCCAATCACTCAAAACCTAGGTGTCACTTTCCGTCCAGCCACTACACCCAGGTTCCGCGCCAAACTCCAACCCAAATACCCTTGGAACCTGACTGAGTCTTGGTTTGGAGCCTTTTCCTGGCTAAACCAGGGGCCATTTCTCGACCCAGACTCCCAAGCGAGCCTTGCGCCAGGCCTTGGAGCTTCTGGCTGCCATGTGGAGCCACAAAGTACAGCCCAACGTCGTCACCTTCGCTGCGGCCATCAGCGCCTCGTCGGGCGAGCAAGCTCCGAGCTGTGCGGGGCGTCCGTGGCGTGCGTGTTTGGGTGGTTGTCCTCCAGCTGAAAGCTATGGACACGTGGTCTGAAATCGATGTTTTCTTGGGGGGGCTGCTGTGGATTATCTATGGTGTTTTTCTTGGGGGGGGCAGCCATGGATTTGGATTGGTTGTTTCCGTGAAAGCTATGGACACGTGGGCTCTGAATAGGCTCTGGGGTTGGGCAGCTGCCCAGATATGCGGCAGCTTGCAGGGAGGGTTCAAAGGGAGGGTTCTTTTGGGGATATCACCCATTTTGTTTGAGGGAGGGGGCGGGAAGCAGTAGAGTCAGTAGAGGTCACTTTTTAGGGAAGCATTCAGTTGTTCATGTATTGGACACATCGAGAATGGCGCTGGTCAACCATGCTCAATGTGTGTTTCTTCATAGAGGTCCATGGTATGACAGTTGAGAGCAAGTAGCTACCCGATTTTGGCTTACTATTTTTGTTTGGCTTTCCTGTATCACTTGCTTTACTTTGGCAAGCTTCCATTCCTGCTTCCCCCAATATCCCCACAGTTCCTTGTTGTTTCCTCTTCTGCTTCCACACAAATCCCAACAGTTGTTTTTTTTGCCCGATTTTCCAGATCACCGGTTGAGCCCCAAGCTGCGCATCCTACTCGACAGCAGCACCCGACCGCAGGCAGCTGCGAGCGGGCGGCCCAGTGGCCGCAGGCGCTGGGCCTCCTGGCCATGGCGCCGCTCGACGCCGTGTGCGTCAAGGCGGCGGCGGCGGCCTGCGAGCGCGGCCAGCAGTGGCAGCGGGCGCTGAGCCTCGCGGCGCCGGCGGCGGGCGAACAGCTCACAGACAGAAGTGGAGGAAAAGAATGGGCGCGCGGGAGGGTGGGGGGGGGGGGGTGGGGAACTATGAGCGTAAAAACAAATAGGAATGGAGTTGTGATGGACCAGAAAACTTAATTAATTGAGATCATAGAGGTAATGATCGAGAAAAACGAGTGGTTATCCACGACCACCGGACAATTAAAGACAAAACTCAAAGACTCTAGCCCAAAGAAATGTCAACATCAACTCGTAAGTTTTCACCATACGGTTTTACCCGCTGGCAAATTTAAGGAAGGAACACAACAAGGGGTCCTTCTCCAAAAAGGAATTCTTTCGTGCACTTGGTTGTACAACCCAGCCAGTAGCTTGCGACCATGTCTATAGCTGGGGTTGCTGTTCAGTGTTTTTTTTGAAACCGTAAATTCAATAATCTTTCATCATGCCCATATTCGTTGGGGGGAGGTAAGCCCCTTGGCTTTTACTCTGTTTTGAGACCAGGGGTTCCGGTTGGTCAGTATGTCCCGCTCTCGAGTCTAGCGCTCGGGTTAAGAAGGTATCTCATGTAGCATGTATCAAGATGGAGGATTCGTGGGAATCTCAGCCCAGGCCTTGGAATTACTATGACTAGGTCCCCCAGTAGTGACCTTTTACCCTTTTTTGGAGGAGTTCCCCTACAAAAATAGACTACAGAAAAAAGGGTACCCTTCTTCTAACCTCTCTACTGGAGGACCTAGCTGATTTTCAGAACTTCCAAATGACCTTTCGAGGGTCCGAAGATTCGTTTTTTGAGCGCTCAGGATTCCACCCATCTCTCGTGTCATTTAGGTCATCATCTACTGGAAGGAGCCGGCGTCTGACTACAGCGTCTCAGCCGGGGCCCCCGAGTTGAGATTTTCTAACCTCGCGTGGGCCATTGATGTGAGGCGGAGAAAGTCATTGCAAGCTACCCTCCCACCAATTAACATAGAACCTCCTGACGTTCGGGGGGTCCCGGAAGGCCATCTTCCTTTTAAAGGCACCCCCTGTCGGGATCCATGTTAAGGAAGGATATGTTGTCAGATGAGCCAATCTGGTTCACCATAGAATCGGCTTTTTCACAGGGACTACGAGCACCCCACTGGCTGAAGCTGGTGCGAAGCAAAAACACAACTGACCATAGCAGACCAACACAATCGCAAGTTCTTGGGCAGCAGATAGCCTCCCCCCCCCCCCCAAAAAAAACAAGAAAATTAATCACATGGTGTATGATGTGATTAATTTTTCCGTATGCCTGTTCTGTTCTAGTTGCCACAGGTTTTGCAGCTTTTTGAGCTGATATGTGAGGGATGTTTTAATGAGGAACCATATCAAAAGTGATTGGTGGACACAAGTCCAAAGTCAAATTCATCCACATGTTTCCGTATACTTCAGCAGCCTTCAGGTGTCGCTGGACAATCTTACCTGGTGGACCATCATTGAGGTCCAGGGGAACCAGGCCGGCGCTCAAGCGCGATCGCTCGACCGGTTGTTGTTATGAACACGTTGGGCACCAACATAGGGGACTTATGTAACTGCCAACCATTTGCGAGTTCCCCACAAGGTTTGTCATAGCCGTTGAAGACACCCTATTGCTTCCAATATCGCACGTCTCAAAATGGTCCAACTGCATATCTCACCCTTTGCTTGAGAGGAGACCATATATTTATCATTTCCTCTGGTTTTGCTTGTGCAACCATGAAACCGTGCGCGGCTTACTTGTGTTTCACAATGAGGGCTTCTCAGAATACGCATTTTTGCCTCTGGCACGTCTTCAGTATGTACTTGAAAGGGGTCGTGACCCGACAAGGTTCAGCGCGTGATCAAGCCACCAAGCCGGCACGCGCCAAACGCTGCAAATGATTGGCTGGAGGATGGCTGGAGGAACAATCAACTTAGTACCACAGAAGGCCGCTGATGTTCCATGTGTTACGCTCGGAAACTTTGGGCTCTATCGGGTTTCCGCGTGCATGCTGCCACCCAAGCCATAGACCGTCAGTCAACAACGGGATTTCATCATGAAATTTCTGGCGGAAAACTAGTTCGTTTTTGCGCGTCAGCTTCGGTAGCATTGCTTCTTCAGAAGCTGGTTTGCGGAGTGAATGTTGAGGGACGTGAATACAATTGGCAGGCGTGGTGAGTGCGTGCTTGAGCGGGTGCGCTTATCATGTGGCAGGAGTGGGTCCAGCGTTGAGCGGGTGTGCTTGTCATCTTGCAGGCGTGGATACAGCTCTGAGCAGGCATGCTTGAGCGGGCGTGCTTATCATTAGGCAGGCGCGGGCTACACTTGAGAGGGTGCGCTGTAGTGCTGAGCCGATCCGCTTGAGCAGCTGCGCTTGTCGTTGGTAAGCGAGACGCCGAGACAGCGCAAACATTGACAACATTAGGAACAATTGGAAAAGCGAGAGAGAAACCAAAGGAGGGGCCATCTACGCACCGTGACAAAACTATTTGCTCGAGGAAACATAGCTTTTGGCCAACTGCACCACCGAAGCAGCATTTCGAGGCAACAGAGTTGGCCTTCTTGTGGACGAGCTCAGCTTGTCATTTCCGTTTGTGTCATACAATGAATGCTTCGTCAATGACTACGAAATTGCGGAGCTCCAAAATGGGAGGATTGACCAGGGAGGATCATTCACCATGATATTGTCAAGTTGTTTGTTTGATGGCTGATCGACCCGAAAGGTTTCATCATCCAACATGAACTTTCCATGAGTTGCACCTCAGTTTGATCGTAATTGCCGTACCCGCAAGAACAAAACCAAGCACGTTCTTCTGAATACATCTCTCTTCGCTGCCTTCAGCCACTTGTTGGATGTCACCTTCCCTCTCCGGCTTGGGTCAAGCAAGGCTGGCGGTTTGGTATCCAGTCCATGGGTCTAAGTTAGCGCCCCAATTCGGCAGCCCAAGAGACGGTCACTTCAAGAGAATCCAAGTCGTCGCTGGAGTCAGGACACCTACAACTTCCATGAGGCATGCCGATGGGAGCTGACCTGAAACACCCCTTGGCGATGATTGGGGGGGGTTCTCCTACCAGTCTCAGGGTGGATGAAAGCAAGGCCTATATGCTTTAAACCTTTGCAACTATATTGATAGAACCAATCGTCAATGTGGTTTGGGCGCGCTCAATTGGGGTTCCGAATGGGCAAAGCCATTGTCATGGGATCCAACCACTTGGACACTCTCTTCCTTGGGGGAAGGATCCCCCTTCTTTGGGCTCCATGTCAATTTGCAATTTGCAGCATGTTGCTTGTTTCTTGGATTTCAAGTAAAGGCGCAGAGGCGTAGTAAAGGCGCCCCACTTCAGAAAGGGAGCAGACTTATGTTGTGGAGTTTATTGTTGAGGCGGGGACAAAGCAGGGACCACGCAATCCCTTGCGCAAATAAGCGAACTCGTCCAACTTGGTAATGCCTATGGTAGCTTGAGTTTGTTGCTGGCATGACAAATGGGTCTTTCTCAAAATGTGAGGACGCCAAAACTGTGTGGGCCCCCGTTCTTCCCTTTCAAACAACCCAAACAAGCCCAGCCTCAGACCCCCAATACAATGTCTTAGTCGCCCTCCCTTTTTACACCTGGTATGCCCTATCCGGAAACGCATCTTGACTCGAACGATATTTGGCCGCTTATATTTCCTTGGGCTTGGGGAAACTGCCCCAATCAACGGAGATGCTCTCAGATATGTAGGTCCAATGATGCTATGCTCGACATCGCTTTCCCTGAAGACCAAAGTTCACTATCGTTATTCCCTTGGATCCTTGAAGCTAGATGTAAGGGACAAAAACTATTTGATAGAAAAGGGGTCATAGTTTCTGAGGAAACTATAGGTACCTCGCGTACACCAAGGTTACGCAGGAACCTGCCCTGCGTTTGGGTGGCTTACCGACCCCGCAAAAGCCGGGCCGTGCGTGAAAAAAAGTAATCTTTACAACAGCTGTCGATTGAACCATTGCTGAAACATCAATGGGACATAAACAAATTCTGAAGCCTAGGTTTAGGCTTGAACATTGGCCAAGTGCCACTCCCTAAGGGCTCCAAACTGAGATGGTCTCCACGACCTACCCCCAAGCTACCAGTTCCAAGGTTGCAAAGGTGGTAAACTGTGCTGTTTGCCCATTCTTTTTCTATTCAGTGAAGCCTCTGGGCACGGAAAAGGCCTCCATGGGAAGATCCTGGTTAGATTCTTGCAGGGAAGCAATCCAGGAGGCTTGATCGGGGGGTTGCCCCCTCCAATCCATCCGCAGAAGCTGGAATTCCTTTTGTACAAGAATCTCCTTTCACCTCACCATGCTAACATTTGCAGGTCGATCCGTACCTCTGCCAAGCCTCCGCTTTTCGAGAAGGCTGTTCTTCCGACCAACGGAAGTGCACCGGTCCATTTTGCACTTTCTGTTTGGAAAGCATGGTCAGAAGCCCTAACCTCTCTTTGATTTGACTTCTAATGCTTGGGGAAGCAAGCGTGGCATGCGAGCCGAAACCTCTTGGTCCATTGGCCAGGTTCGCCTGTGAAAGCCGCCCTTACGTCCCTAGATGCGTCCAAAGACCTCCTCCCCCATATTGGCACAACGCCACAGGTCGGGTTCCCTGACCTCAGACCACCCTTTGTTCCCCATCCCCGGCGGGGTGAAAGCACTCCATAGGGTTACACCCTCTACAATTAGAGATGTGATTTTGTTTGTGGGGTCGACTCCAAACATATTTTAGGTAGGGTCAACAAAAGTATGAAGCAGACTCAGAACACATTGAAGACAGATGTGGGGTTGCCTCCAAACCTTTTTCTTGAAGATGGAACAGAGTCAACTGAGAACCCACCCATTTTCTGGGTTGGTTCCCATTTCCCCGCCTGAGATTCGCTAGGCCTTCTTCGGCGCCAAGTTCCTAAAGCTGCACATGACCCGGGCAGCGGCCACACGGGGCCCGGGCATCGACGAGGGCAAGCCGGTCTTCTCCATCTACGTGCGGAAACCCGGGGGAAAACGAAGACGGCGAGGGACGCAACGCCGGGTGCTTGTGGGTTTTCCAGGTGCTCAGGCTCCAAACAATCTACGGGTTTGTTTCAACAGGATATGGGACCAGCCCCCCCCCAAAGAAAAAACACACACACATACATCAGGCTGGGTTTCTGGGTTGACGTGTTGTAGCAACCAACCGCTGGTCATTTTGCAGGAGGGCCAAAAGGAGGCTGTTTTAACATGTTTGAACACAGTGGCCAACGCGTGTTTGACCTTTGGCTACTGGAACACGACCTAAATCTCGGAGACCTTAAAGGGCTTGGAGGTGTGTCAAAACCTGGCTGCGTCACAATGGGACAGCATATGTAGTATGGGTCCTTGACCATACAAACCGGTGGGGGGGGGGTCAGGTGTAGTCCTGGGCTGGTGGCTTGAGAAAGTGCACTCACGTCTCGAAATCCGCTTGGTGATTCAAGATGACCAGTGCGTGTTTGTTGCGGTCTGAAGGGGCCTAGGTCGGTTTTGGTCTGTTTGTTCCTCGATCTAGCTGAGTGGTGTTTTCTGCAATTTGGATATGTTCTGCTTGACCCTTGGCGAACATGCTCACTTGTGGTTGGCCTGGATAGTTTGGGATGGTACCAACCTCTCAAGGAGTTTGCGCAATCATGAGAATCCAGAAGGTTTTATTAAGGAGAACATCACCCTAAAACCACCTCCCTCCGCGGTTGGAAGACCCTTTCCCCCCATCTGTCATTTATTTGTGTGTGGGTCAAAACCAATGGGATTTCATTTTGGGGTAGGTGCACCACCCATTTTAGAACCTATTTTACTGGGGATTGGGATGTGCACTGGGGGCTAACCAGGATTCTGACCCATGACCATTTGGGACTCCGAGGAGCTGGAGGTGGAGCGGGACACCAACGTGGCACGGCTGAAGACCACCACCATCTTCAACTTCTTCGAGAAGCCCCACGTCGATATATCACCGGCTGAGAGACCGATTGGTCATGGCAAGAAAAATATGACGGGGCCCTGAGCGTGGCTCATGGATTTGATTTGCTTTGCCCCGCAAGAAGGCCTCAAACAAGACCACTGGGGAAGCATTAAAAAAACGACTACTCTTTGATCAGAACCCTCTCCTGGGGTGGGGGGGGGGTCTTTGGTTTTCTCCCTGGAACATGGAACCCTTGTTTGGAGTTTCTTTGCAGGGAAGCCACAAGAAACTTGCATTTTGCCATATTTGCCCATGTGCGGCAACTCACCTAATCAAATGGGGGTGTCTCAAAATCAGGGACCCTTTTTTAATTCCAAACAAAAACCGACTGTGAAGGTTCCTGCCTTGGTCCCTTTTGTTTAAGAGTTGAATGTTCTGGGCCCTGTCGGATTGGTAAGGGATATGAGTCTTTCAACTGGGAGCCCCGGTTTGGAACCAGGAAGTGTTGTGTTGCACGGGAACAGGAGAATGGTGATGGCGTAGTGATGGATGCTATGCCCATTGCGAGTTGTCCAAGAGCACTGTCCAAACATCTAAGCTAGTTCAAACCTGCGGGCATTTGGTCACCTCTCAGCCCCATGGTGCCTCAAAACAGGCGTGGATAGAGGGAAATCAAAAAGACCTAGACAAAGTCACTGAACGCATGACCATTCCCACAACCACAAGGGCCCACTACAGCATTTGTGATCGTAGCATGCATGAGGTCCGGTCAGCAGTCTAGCCTGAGGTCGGTTCATGAGCAATTGGGGGTCTCGCCAAACAAAAAAAATAGAACCCAGATACCTACCTTCAAACATCAGAAGGACAAACCGTACACAAGGGATCTGTGTCGAGCCTTTTGGGGGCCCTCAGCTGACACGACTTGAGCATGGAGGTGAGGTCGTGTGTGTGTGTGTTTTCCACACATCTGTCCAGTGGTGTTTGCAAAAATTGAAGCTTTGAGAAACAGCATCGCCATGACACATCGCCCGTCTTCGCCAAAAGAAAGTTTTCCAGGGGCAGCACCAATTGCCGCCGAAACTCTGCCTTTTGCTTATGCTTTCCCAAAGCCTCAAAACAGGGTAAGCCCACTGCAAATACCGTTGGATTCTGCAAAAAACAATCCGGGGGGGGGGGGGGGTGTCACACACACACATATGTATAATATATACATATGTGTATTCTTGAGAGCGTTCAGAAGGAGTCCCTACTTTCATTGCCGGTTACCTATCTCTATTGCCCTTTTGCCCTTCTGGTTTTTCTGCACTCACTAACTTCCGGCAGGGTTTCGGAGTTCGTCACCGGTCAGCTTTTACATTGCGAATTCGTCGGTTCACAACGCCCTCTTCAGCGACGCATCATGCTGCAACTGACATTGCGAGCGGCTCAAAACCAATCATCGAAAACAAAGTGCCCTTAGCCAAGGTCACTGGGCAGCTCCTGCGGGATTTAGTCATTGGCGCAATTATTGGTTTCGGAGCTTGGCTTGCGGTTTGACTGCCCGAGCGAGGCTCTCGCGCTTTCGTGCGCTTAGTGCCTGAGCGGCGCCCTGAAGGGCGCCCTTGTCAAGGTTTGAGTTGCCGACCTGCATCAAGTCGCGCCCCAAAGCGGTGCTTCCTCGAAACCGCTGCCCTAGAGCCCTCCATGAAAGGGACGGTTCACCCTATTTGGATGATGACGCCCTTAGCAATGCTGGCGGGGCTTGAACACCAGTTGCTTTCGCCAGAGAAGGGATTTGCGATCGCCGGTGGTTTAAAGTTGACACGCGCAACCCTGCCTCAAACTCAGGCCGCCGGAGAGCGCCATCGACGGGGATCTCGAGACCTCTTGGATGACGGCCATTGGGTCCCCCAGTGCGGAGTTTTACGTGGATCTGGGCACCACAGTGAAGGTCATGGTGGCTTGGACGACGGCTTGGAAGGGGGTGGATGCCCATTCCCGAACTTAGCGCCCTCCAGCCCCTCCCGCGGTGGCTCGCGCTTTGCCTGCTTGATTTACTTGGGGTCAGACCCAGGTGCGGAATTGCTGGTTGAATCATTGGTCGGGCTTCCTCCAAGTGACGGCAGGAAATATGGCAGCGCAGAAGGGTTTTCCATATGCATGCTTTCTGTTCCGGCTGCCGCGTAGTTGGCTTGTATATGCTATGTTCCAGGCGTGTTTGTGAAGGTTCGCTTCGCTCGCGCGTTCATGTTGGGATCCAAACTCTCGCTGTCTTGTCGGTGCGCTGTGCACGCAAGGCGGTGCCCCAACACCCCCCCCAGAGTGAACCAAACTCGCGAGTGCCAAATAGTGCCAAAGCTCAACAGTCCCCCCTTTACCGCGCACCATGGCAACGCAGGGCCGCGCACGCATTCACTCCTGTCTTCCAAGGGTCATGATACTTTTCGGCACGATAAGATGTTGTCAATTTTTGGAACAATAGGGCCACAACCCTTTGAACGAATCATTCGAATCGCGCAACTTCTGGCTTGTGGGAGGTGCGCCCTTGCGCCAAATGAGCCAGTGAATGAGCGTTTGGCTGGTTACAGTCATCTTTGCCAACGCGACGGGCTGACCATGCGCATGCCACACTGCAAGATTGCGGGGGCTTGAGTTTTGAAATGTTTTTCTGGCACCAAACGCGGAAACATCCCCCACCGCAAACCACCCACTTCCTGTGAAGACACTCCCCGTGCCTGGGCCCGGGGCCCTGAACTTTGAGGCGACCAAACTGTCCTGGCGATTCCGACCCGGCTCCGTGCGCATCGGCGCGTTGCCAGAGTGAGGGAGCGGGATAGCGAGCAAACCAAGAGCCAGGTTTGACATTGTCGCTGCTAGGGCGCGGATGGTTTCTAAGCGACCGCGAGCCCAAAAATTTTGAATGTCCGTTGGACGAAGTTGTTTTGAGCACAGACTATCCGCTCATCATGCCCTCCGGTGCCTGCGGAAAGTGAGGACTGGCGATGAACCAAACCAATCCAAATCCAACGCAATTCCGGAGCATGCGTGTTTGTGGCCCCCTGTGAGCGCACACACACACACACAGGCTGAGTTGGTGGAGTTTTGGTTGATGATGATACTTTGTGGAAGGTAGAATAGCGCCGCATTCAAATGTCGATGCGGGGTTACTGGGACCATGTTTGGTCGCTATTCGGTTGGTATGATTCAGCCGAAACAAAGGGGCACAATGCGTCCTGGAAACCTTCAGAGCAGACCACCGTCGGGCGTGTTAGGCCAATTTATGCTATACCAAAAGTAAAATAGCCTTTGAGATAGTCATAAGCATGGCCCACATGGATTCCACAATTGAAAGGGTGATTTCTGGCATGACCTTATGGCCGTCCTTGTTCTGGGGCATTGCCCATGCTTTCTAACCACCGCCGTAAAAATCCAGCGTCTCCGTTCCTTGAGAGGTTGCAAGATGCATGGAGGCTATGGGTAAGTTACCTCTGGACTTCTGAGGGCAATTTGAATAGCAAGGCCACATGAGCTCACTTCCCAATTCAGGCTGGGGGGGTCAAATCTGTTGGCTGTATCCACTTCAGAGCTTCTATGCACCTAGCAGTTGCTGTGTAGCCCATCCAAGCACTTCAGGCCTTGTCGTCACGTAGCGGGCCCCTTCTTTGCGTTTTCTGAACCACCTGAAGCAGCGCGCCAGGTGAAGGTCTTTGTGGGTCCAAATCCATGCAGCCGCTCGCAACGCACCATGGGGGGCTTTCGTTTTTGGAGGTACCCCTTTTTGGTGGTTTTCAAGGAGCACCAGCGGAAGCCACCATTTTGCGGGTCGCCGCAAAAAGACGCACCAAGGAATGTCCTGTTCTTGAGGCAAGCCTGTACTTTGGAGGAAACATCCCCCCCCTGATCCCTCCTGGCATGAAGCCGGGATGAATCCTGATTCCGGATTCGCCGCTTTTCTAGCATTTTCTGAAGGAAAGGCCCTGCACCAGGCCCCTTATTTGTGAGGGATCCACGCAAGTACTCCCAATCGACCAGAGGAAGCCAGGGGTGAAGATTTGCAGGAAGAAGTGGATAGCTTGTTTGGTCATTATTGATCACTCAATGTATATATATATAGATATACAGATCTAAATCAGAAACCTTTGAAGACTACCTGCGATGGCAGCTGGTATCCCTGGCTGCGAAGATGCAGTGTCTCGACTCAATTGTGCTCTCATCATCTCCCCATCCGTCCTCTAGTCACAGCCAACTGGCGGCCGCCATTTCCAAGCTGTCGCCAGCTTGTCAAGACACCTGTTCCATGTCTTGCTGCTGTTTTTGGTTGAGCTTTCGAAGACATGGGCACAGTGCAAAGTGCAGTCTGATTCAAAGTGACCTCACCTCAAGCTGACCTCGCAGGTGGGGCCAATGGCAAAGACAGCCGTAAGAAGTCAACTGCCAGTCCTCACCCGACGCCGAGTGAAGCGGCTCGCTCAGGCGCGGGGGTGCCCACGGAGCAGTTCCTGAGCCTCTCCTCCGGCCTGGTCTTGGACTTCTTTGAGGTCACCGCCAACTGGGAAGGCCCGGTCTGGCGGATTTTTCTGCAGACCGTCTGCGTTCCTGGGTAGACTTAGGATACATTTTACATTTTACCAGTGACTCCATGTGAAGCAAGCAATGAAACATACCTTCTATAACTGGGCCTAACTCTATTCATGATTCCACATGTTTTCTTTGTCTCAACGCTTGTTTTGGTTTCATTTTATGCGAAATCAGCCAGCAACAAGAGGGTGCAACTTGTTTTTGGCTTTGCTTCCTGAACATCCACTGTGAGTAATGGTTTTTCAGGAATCCATTGGTCGTCTCAATTGCCTTGTCAGGGGGGCGTGGTAAGGCGACAAATGGACACATGGACAAATGCTGGGGGGCTATGCCAGTGTGCAGCCAGCAGCCCGAAACCACCAATTTACATACAAGATGAAAAGGGCTGGTTGCAAAGGTTGTTGCACAGGTGGTTGCAAACCTGAAAGGGGTGGTTGCCGAAAAAGGGGAGTGGTTGCAAACACCAAGTAGTTCCCCTGGGAAGAGGGCCAAGACCAAAGCAGGTGTCCGGAGGCAAAACTCGGATGTTTGAGGCCAAGGAGACATGAGAAGCTGAAGCTTTCATGGGGGCAGCAGGAACTTTAATTTGGACAATAGCACGTCTAAAAATAAGGAACCGAAGAAATGTGGCTTCCTTTTGGTTCTCTTTTAAAGTACACCCGAAACAGGGTACGCCGCAAACAGACTCCGCCATTGCGAGATGATTGGCCCAGGCCGATATTTGAACATTTGTTCGGCAAAGGGCTGAGCTAGGAAATTGACGAGGGGAAGCCCGCCGCAAGCAGCAAGCCGTCGCTAGTTTTCGTTTGGGTGTGATATTCGGTTGGAGAAGTAGGAACTCCAGTTTCAGGGATCACCAGATCTGGGTCCTCCTCCTTGAACCATCCACTGGTCACTGGTCGAGAATTTGGTTCAGCCACCCTGCCCATCGCGGAACCAGACGGTCGCCGAAACTGGGCTTCAAACATGCGAAGTGGCAACAAGATTAGTTTTCAGTCTTCGTCCCCAATTTTGCTCAGAATCTTCCAGACCCCTCCTTTAAACAACTTGTCTTTCCCGAATCCGACGGGAAGATGATTAAACGTTGGTTTCAACATGTTCCCGGAGGGTCCAGGTACCCTGTACTGTAACCCATGTTGACCCCAAAAGTTTTAGGGTTACCTTCGCCCGTTCTTTCCAGGGATGCTTCCCCTTCTTTCTAAGAATTCTCAATAAACCCGGGGAAACGGCCGGTTTTTGAAAAGAACGATGGTTGAAAAGAATGGGGAATCAAACCCCAGATAAATACATTTTGAGGTACTTGGACCCGGGTTCAAGCAAGAGATTGACCCAACTGCCCAAGCCTCTCTGTTCGGCCCTGAGGTCAATGCATGGTCGTTGTCATTGAGGAGACGAGGACCTTCTTCGGCGAGCAGTACGTGGGCATCCGTGAGGTCGCGGGGAGCCCCAGTTGCTGGCGGGCGCACGGGCAATGTTAACCCACTGATTTGCATCGGGGGGAAGGGGGAGGGATGGGAAGGTGGGGGGAAAAAGCGGGTGAGGTTGTTGTTTGATGTTTATCTTTTTCTGAAGGGTATGCTGGGCATCAACAGTGACAGGTTGAAAGCTATGGATTGCTCTTGGTTCCTGGGAAACGTCGTTCTGCTTGAACTCGCTTTCGAAGAAACAGAGGAGCAGGGGCAGAATTTGGGACAAGGGAAGGCTTTGGCACGGGAAGCTGACGATCGGCAGGTGTGGGAGGACTAATTTCCTTTTTTTGGGGAACCTCTGTACACTTCCATGCTTGTTGGCAACAGGGTACTTGGGGATCGCTCACTGGCCGGAGCCGGAATCTGCCCCCACAGTCAGAGCAAAGCGACCGATCCACCCACCGTTAAGAATCCTCGTTGCCTCCTCCCCGACTGCTTGCTTCAGAAAGAGTTCTTCTGAGTATGATACAGTAACAATATTCTTATTCTTATGATATGCAACAGTCCCTTCATCCAGAGAGAAGACACTAACAAGCTCTGTTTGCTGCGAACCCATATAGAACCCATTGTAAGTGAAAGGAGCCAGAATTGATCATGCTGCTAAGCATGGTTCCAACACGTGCCCGACCCCCCCCCCACCTGGCACCGCTGCATACACACACACACACGGGGCACTAGCTCTCCAAACCTCGGATTCTCCGCCTGTTGGATCAAGAGCCGCTCCATAAATGGCCCAAAATAACGCATCGCCTCCCAGTTGCTGGACTCTAGTCACTTTTGGCTTGGGCAATCCGCACAGGACAGCGGTGTGTTGTGTTGAAAAATACAACATCAAGGATAAATTTTATTTATAGGAGGTATCCCCAATTTCAAAACGACAAACATGTCATATGTAGTGTGTGTGTTGTCGTTTTTGGCGAAGGAAGTGAGTCTTAGAGACGGCATCAGGAGTTCTATACCGACAGCGATGACCTGGCTCCCAACGGCACCATCAACTCTAGCTTCCCCGACCAGGCCTTTCGTTCGGAAGCCGGACGCCGGCGAGATATGCACATGGGAGTCGTTCTAAAGGTCCTTGTAAGGAGTTTAGTATTCGGTGACTATCGGTGTTGGTTGAGGTAGCTCCGAGAAAGATTCGCGATGGAGTTGCGAAAGTAACTTTTTTTGTTCGCGAAAGTTTTGCGTAGCTGCATCTTGCAAATCAGTAATACGTGAAAACACTCATCTTTTCTGCTGAATCTTCCTTCTAAGCTGATTAAAACATTGTGTTGTTTGTCCCCTGATAAAGCCTGGTGACGCTACAGTTTGATACCCTGCTTCGCTGGTTAGTGCTCCAGGTGCGCGGGTGTTAGTCGGTGGCTTTAGACACGTGAGTGATGTTTCGCGAAAGTTCCGCGAAAGATCCGTGAAAGCCCGTGCGAAAGTGCAGGCTTCGATTGCAAGGGGAGGTACTTTCTGAGCGCTGCGCTAGTCAGAGTACTAGCTTGGTACTGAAAACTTGCAACTTCAAGCTGGGGCTGCGCGGCTTTCGTGCTGGAACTGCGGAAGTGCATTTCGTGTACTGGTGCTGAAAAGTTGCGAATTTCCAGCTGAAGTCGCGGAAGTGCATCTCATGTACTACCCTTGTGATGAAAAGTTGCGACTTTATTTCGCGTACTAAACCGGTACTTAAAAGCTGCGACTTCCCGACTTGAGCAATGAAAAGTGCACGGCGATGAATCCGCGAAAGATTCGCGAAAGTAACTTTTTTATTCGCGAAGAATGGCCGTTTGACACAAAGGAATTTAGAACAACCACCACATATATTAATACATATATATATATATACATATTTGATATACACACTGTGGATGCCTGGAGTCTCCACGACGCTGCCAACATGGGGCCGTGACCATTTGTTTAAAGCAATCAGTACCCTAAAATTGAGCAAGAACAGAAACAGAAACAGAAAAGCCAGGGTTCTCCAGAAGAAGGGCGCCCGGGACACCAGCAAAACCAGAACAACAGAACATCAACAAGAAGAAACAACAAGCAACTACGGTCCTCCAGAAGCACTGGACTTGAAATCCAAGATGGTGTGTTGGCACTACACAATTTAAGTGCGCAAATGCAGGCAAAATTGAATGCGCCAGATTTGGTGCGAATGACAAAGGTGGTTCTCACCCAAAAGCGCTGCAAATACCATGAAATTATATTGCCAGGCCGTTTCCAAGAAAATATTTGACCACTTAAGGCATCTGAAGGAACTGCCCTGCATCAAGCTTGGTCCCGAAACTCCCAGCCATCCTCTCAGGTGTTTGGATTTTGGGGGTTTAGTGGTGGGTTCCATTTGGCCCACCAACAGTCAAACTCACAGCAGGGGATCTGAGGACAGCCCACATAGGTATGTATATATATATATATGTGTTAAATATATAGACAACATATATATATATATATATACACATATATATATACCTACATATATATATATATATGCACACACGTTTTTGGAGCACGACATCCAGACCCTGTCGGGCAGTTCCCTTGTGCAGGTGCACCACCTTACGGACGTGAGCAACTGCCTGGACGGAAATCCCGCCACCTACTGGCTCCTGCAACCCCAGGAGAACCAGCGAACGGGACAGTGCCTTCGTGGGCGGTTTGACGTGGTTTGTTGTTTTGTCCATGAGGGGTCGACGGTCGTTTGGCCATTGGACGGAATTCTGAAATTCGATTGGGTGGAAACATTGAGGTTGTAATCAAACTGATCATTGCCCCGACGGGGACTGCAAGATGATGCAACGATTTGGCTCCTTCCAATATGAGTGGCAGGGTAGTTGGTGATACCAATATTTTTCTTCCTTCACGCCACGTATCTCAGATCTCTGCAACCTTTTTTCAGGGTGAAGCCAGCTCTCCCGTGAAGGGTCGTTGTTTGAAAGATTTCTCGTTTCCGGTTTGTGAGTTAGAATAGTTGTTTGCCTGGCTATCTCCGCCTATTGATAGACCCAACGGCGCTCCAACTATCGAATGCTAGATCAGTCCTTTGCACCAGTTCAACAGGATACTCATTGTTGTTTGTATTTGTTGCTTCCCGACAAACACATGGATGCTTGGCAAAAAAGGACCCGTAAAGGGCGGATATGTGTTCTTGTTTTTGTTTCTCCTTGACTGTCCATGTGGAACCCCATACGTGTGGAAAACCTCGGATGCGCGAGACAGCTACCACGGAGCCAAGCTGGAGCAGTTCCCGGATAGCCACGAGGCAGGTCCATGATCCGTGCGTGCGAGGAGGACCCCACTACGGTGACAGTGGATCTTGGTGCCATCTTCCAGGCAAGGCCGCGGCACGCTCTTGTTGAAATTCCAAAAGGAATCCATGCGGAACCACCCTAAGTATCTTGGGAATTGCCTCGCAATGGGCCGTGTTGAGGTCAAACACCTTACCCTCCAAGTTAGGTCACCGCAGAAGGTCTTCGCGTTGACAAGTAGTATGAAAAACCAAATGACCATTGACCCGAAAAGGGGGGAAGTGTTTGGGGGTGAGTCCAGCCGGAGATTCGTCTACAACTGGATGGATGGTTTGGGTGTCAAGTGAATCTGCAGGGCGGAGAGCCGATCAACAGCAAATTGGGCGGTTGTGATGCGATGTGGCGATTCTTTGCTGTTGGGTTCATGTCTTATGACTGCCAAGTGGGACGTTCAGCGCAGGCATTCTACTGTAGTCACTGCTAGGTGCCCGCACGAGCAAGGAAGTAAGTGCGTGCGTGTGTTGCCTTGCGCGCGCGGGCATCCAACTATGTGGCCATACTTCAATGAACCCTTTGAAGCGTGGCCGCATCGCACATGCTTCATCCTTTCCCTGTCAGCCAAATAACTTGGAGTGCTTAGCTTGTCAAACAAAGAGGATTGCCTGGAGGTACCACACGAAGCACAACCGATCCAACCTGGTGAACTTGCTGGTTTACCAGCAAGACATCCTCCTTTGGTTTAGGTTACCACGTCTGGTGGTAGTGTGACAAAGTAGTCTTAGGATGAGAACCAAGACTTGGACTTGGTTCAAGTAGGTTCTCAACAATGGGCTTTTGAGGAGTCCTGAACAGTTCTATTTCCAGACTTAAATTTCGATGTGGGAAGCCACTGGACACGAGTTTCAACAAGTGGTCGGGTCCTTTTGAGGTCCATACCATCTTTCCAGCAATCATGGAAGCAGCCTGGAGGCTCCTGCAAGATCCATGATGGTTGGGCAAAGGTTTTTTCTTGAGTCACCAGCAAGGTCATTGTTGTTATGGTTATGTCGTGGAAAAAGGGGGTTCGACTCGTTGCATTCAATTTATAGCCTGGGTTGCCAATTTGTGGAGAAGCCATGAGAGGACCGCGAAGGTCAGCAGAGGGTCCGGCAGGTAGGTGTTTTGTAAGGGCCAGTTTAGTATCTGGGAAAGCGGTACTTACCAGTCTCGAGCCCCCTCGGGTGTACCAGAATTGGGACAACTACTTTGAGCTGGTATCTTCTAGTCTAAAGGGGACCAAGGTGAGCCTACAGTGCTTTTCACAATGGTTGACCCCCTTGTGGTTGTGCTATCGCCTATAGTTGTTGTACCCTTTGTAGTTGTCCTATTGCCTAGCACCAACGAATTGCAGGGAAGGCAAAAGGAAACGCGGTACGTGTCCCACTTGGAGACATCCCCACAGATCATGAGCATCGAAATCCGCTTCGCCTCCGTTGACGGCGAGGATTACTTCGCGCCACTCGGTTTCAGGCATCTGCAGGCCGCAGACCCCCGACTCCAGGGTCGCAGATGCAACATGAAACACATGCCTTGTTTTGCCTCAAAGAGGAGAACTAGTTTGTTTCTGGTTTATCTGGAGCTGATTCTGTCCAGGGTTAATTTGAAGTTGGAGCTCCATATTATATACATGTATGCATATCAATATGTACATACATGTATCTGTACATATTTATATACAGTTGTATATATATATATATATATGTATATATATATATATGCCCATACCCATTTGAAGGCAGACCCTAGGCCACCCACCCCCTCCCGGCGCCGCCCGTCCAGCTTTCTGGGTAAGGAGCCGCTTCTACACGGAGATGGGCACGGAGCTGGTGAGCTGGGAGATGTTCGAGGTTGGAGCTGGTGAGCTGGTGAGCTCAGGTTTAAGATTGGGGTTTGGAAGTTCTTCTGGCGGCCGTCACTTTTTGGTTGGTTTGGGGGTGGTTTTGGGGAAGGGGAAGCCCCTTTTGGTGGGTGTTGGGATTATCAACAGGGAGACCCTTCCTCTTACCATTTTGTTGGGTTTCCTCATTTCGGTGTGTCCGTTTTTACAAATTTGCTGTTTGCTTGAAGCCAACCCAAGAAGGGTCCCTCAAAGAAGACAAACCTATCCTCAGAACCCAGAAAACAGGGTGGGTGGCCTGCTGGACCCTTGGGTGCAACAACTGCTTCAACAGGCAGGCCCCGGCCCTATTTTGGGAACCCCAGGGCCGTTGAACAAGCACATATGATAAGAGAGGTTGGCCGAACCTTTGTTGTTTGTTGGTAAGTGCAAATGGATTATTTGCGACAGTCCGGAGCTGTGTAGATCTATCATGTCGCGGTACTCGTCTTTGCTGGCGTTTCGTCCTTGGCAAAAGCTCAATCAGGTATTACTTGCCGGTGCTCAGCAGGGAATGAGGGAATGAACTGAAGGAATCCCCTGAAACGAAAAACCACAAGGGATGGTTGATCGTTGCCTATTGCACCGATCGCAAGATTCCCCTGGGAACTTGCCCTCAATTGGTGCGGATGGGTTTGGATCAGGTGGATGCTCAGCAAGGCTCACGGACCATGAGCCACTACTTCCAGGTCTATCGCCTCGGTCGCCCCTCGGCGGGCGGCGGCATCCGGGAGCCGCTCCTGGGGCCCGTCAGGGTGGGACCTGTGACGTGCAGAGAAGGGGCCGGATGGTTTTGGCTGCAGCTTGCCCCTTTTTGCCACGTTGAACTCTTTTGGAAGCTTTCTACGCTTTGTGAGAGCCCTCACCCCCTCGCAACTGAATCGTGCAAGGGGTCACGCACACCCACTAAAAGGGCCTCGCCCATAAGTGTTTGTTTCAACACAGAGCAACTCCCAAAAACTGTGTGTTTTCCTTTCAACCAACCAAAAGGGGACCTTCCAAAAAGGCACAGCCCTCCTTTTTCTGCCTACACGGCACCTGGCTTGAGGCTATGTGCGCTTCGTCTTTGAGCAGGTCTTCGGGTTGAACCCCGAGGGTCGGCTGGGCATCGAGGACTTTGTGATCAGGACTGGCGAACTGGAAATGGATATGGGAGGTCGATCAAAAGGTTCTTTCATACTGGGTCATTGCCTCCATTTTGGGGCGGATGAACACCCATGGGCACAGGGTTTTGACCCACAGCCATATGGGATGACCATTGGTTGGAAACCCACCAAAAAGATACGACTTTCCCACTGACAAGTTACCATCGACCCCCATATGTCAACAGCCGGTCAGCGAAGCGTGCGCAAAAGAAGAGCATATGTTCCCTTGCTAGCTTGCTTCTCACGTGCTGCGGCTGCAGGTTACAATCAATTGAAGCAAACGCACGCACAAAGGGACTGACGTCAAATGAAAAGAACATATTCAACGGGCCCTCTATTCTGGAAAAGGCAACATAAACCCGCCTGACGAAAACAACGCCAATTTTAGAGACGCCAAGACGCCAACAAACATCCACCCTTCAAACTTCAAGCAAAACAATGCAACATGAGGAAACAAGCAATTGTCAACACTCAGAATCACAGGCCCGGCACAAGAGCCATCGTCTCTTCATTCGAGCGGAGTCTATCCCCAGTTCGCATCTGGCGCTTGCGCCTCTCATCGCCCGAGGTTCAGCTGGGCCTCTTTCACGTTGGCAAACCCAAGGTGCCGGACAACACGAGTTGCTGTTTCTTGGGTAAGGCCAAGGTTGCATCAAGAGACATGGCTTCATCAGCGGCCTTCGCTTGTCTGAACAGATCTGGCGAACATCAGGCCTCTTATTGGTGGCCACTACGCTCTGCATAGCAAGGAGTTGTTGTTGCGCTGTCCGCTCCTGTGCCTGCCTTAGCCGGGTCGGCAATCTGACACTCTGATCTCGGAAGGCGCAGCCAATGGCCCTGCCTGCATGGCACACGGCGGACCACGCAACTAGGCCGTTCCACTTTCGGCTCAACAGCAATGTGTGTACACCAAATGGCACACCCCAAATCAGGTTGTTCCCTTGGAGTGGTTCCCAAGCCTTCCCCAGCTGAGCCACAAGGCCCCTTTGCGACGGAAGCGTCTAACAGAGCAAGTGAGCCATCTGAAAGGACACGGCTATACCAACGCAGGCTCAACGCAGGCACTTGTAAAAATTGGAGACACAAATATGTCGCCCGCCAAACTTGCAAGGTCATTGCTTGCATTTGCTTGGGATGCATCAGTTGAGGCGCAGCTTCTCTAAGCTAGCCCAACTCGGACCCCAAGTTCAGTGCTTCGCACATTGCACAGCGAGGAGGCAATGATGCGCAATTAGAACATATCCGAAGAATCCCTGATCGCCAAAATGGCTTTGCTCATTTCGAAAAGGACCTTACATTCGAGAAGGAGAAGATATCCATTCTCAACCAAGAACTGCCTAGTGCACCTCGGTCTTCCCGGGGGAAACACGTACAAACCTCCAGAGGTGCTCCGAGCGGTTCCTAACATGCTTTCACGTACTTTCATTGAGCAGATTTCTGGCCTTCATACGGAGGTTGATGAAAAAACATAGGAGGTTTCCTTTGGTTCCCTTGAGCCGCCAACCAAACAAAGGTCCATTTTGAGAAACCTCCGTCTCAGGTCCTTTGAGAAATCCTGCAGGAAAGTGAGCGACAACTTGGCGCGCCGCAGCGGCGTCACGGTGAGCGCGAGCAGTTCCTGGGTGGAAGCAGAGCCCATCATCTACGCGGCTTGGGCAGTTCCCAGTTTGGTTTTGGGTTCGCAGGTGGCGTTTGTTGGTTTGGAGTGGCTTGTGTCCTTGTGTCCTTGTGGTTCGCGGTGGTTTTGGGTTGTAGGGCTAGTTGAGGCGGTTGGGTTGGTTTGGTCGCTGCGGGCGCCAGGCTTTGGGATTGCAAAGAGGTGTTTCCTTTGGGCTCCTTTTTGCGGCTTGCCCCTTTTGAACAGGGCAGGATTGGTTTGAAGTACAGGACAAATGGGGAAGCGGGAGCCTGAAGGTTCGGATTCAGCTGTTGTCAGTCCCAGTGTACTGTCATGTTCAAAATGTCCGTATGGTTGGAGGGCATTTGTCGTATTCTGTGGTGTTGCTATTGGGGGCTCTAGGTTGCATGGTTTTCCTGATATACGGTTGATTCCCCAAATTATTACCCTGCACACCAGCCACAAACCATGGCAAATATTGGAGGGGTTCCTTGTTTCCTACTTGCAATGCACAATCAACCGTAGTTTCTGCATCACTGGACCGCAACATTGAGACGATCGCGGGCAGGCATCAGGCGCCTCAGCCCCGGCGCATTCAGCTGGAAGATAGAAGCAGAAGTCCCTTCGGTTGAAGATAAGGGGCTAACACATTACAAGCGTCATTATCTTATGATCATGTTGGAATTCAGTTCAAGTATTCCGCTCCCCGTGTTAACAATGTAAGCCCTTACTATTTGTTTGTCTTGAACTAGGGAGCCCTTGTTTGGGTGATTTTCCAGGACGCAGTTTTTGCCATCAGCTCTACCAAGGGGTGGGCGGGGGCATGAGCTTGTTTTGGTCAAAGGCCGACCACCGCAAGCTGGCAGTTTTCTGCTTGGCTTCCCATCCATCCGAGATAGTCTTTTGTTTGTGCGACCCCCCCCCCGCTCCCAATACCTTCTGTTTCCCTGCACAAGGGCAAAGTTCGCTCGCCCCAAACCCATGGCACCAAAATCCTAAACTCTTGGCCATCCGTGCCGCAAAGGCCACTTGTTGCCCGGAATCCTCACCTGGCCATGGCACCTACCAAATTGGTCTGTTGGCATTACCAAGTGGCCGGGGCCCCCTCCACTCGCGGAACCCGCCGAGGATGGCAACCTGCGACCCCACGATGGCGCCTTCGCAGTGGACGATGCGCCGCGGCAGCGAAGCTTAGGGGAAATCCGTGCCCCTCTCCTAAATGGTCCAATGCAGACCGGAATGTTTTGCACCACCAAGTCCAGCTGGCAAAGCTTTCGGAGTCTTGAGAACGCGACATCCTTGGTGACGAGCAGGCCGGGCACTGAGCCCCCCCCCGCCCCGAAAATGACATATTTCAATTAGACCCCCTCCCCCTCTGAAAAAGGCAGGGGTGGCAGAGCAGGACGATCCTCGTCTTGCGGTCTACGTGGACGCCGGGTGCACTTCAGGGGGGTTCTTGCCTTGGAGCTCGAAGAGCCCAAACTCCACTTTGTGTTGCGTGGATCAGCGAACGGCAGTGTGTCTTTGGCATTCTCTCTGTACCAGGAAGGGCTTCCGACCCTTAGTCTCCGGTAGCGTCTATTGGGTTGAGGATTCATGAAGACAATCAGGCTTCTAGTCTTGTGGCAAGAAAAGGTCACTCTGACGCAGAAGGTGAACTTAGCATCCCTTGCAGAACAATTACAAGAAAATGCTCGAGTAGAGCTTAAACTTATAAAGCCCGATTATTCCAGCAACAGACTTTCCCCGCACAAGTGGGATCACGCCTTAAAGCTTCTCGGCACACGCGCCGACGTGCCCGAGGAGCTCGGAGATACTAGGTTCAAAACCAAGAGCTAGTGCGCATCCCCGGAAAGATTGCGGAGCATCGAAGGATTCAAATGTCCTATCTGTTAAAAATCCTTATGGGCCAAGAGCTGCCTTCGGCGTACCGTGGCTACGGCGAGGCGAGCGTCAATAAAACAGGACCGCTAAGCTAGGCTTGTTAGGTAGGATTGAGGGTTGCGTGTATCAGTTGTCTTTAAAGCCAACCCCCTGAACTGCTGAGGGATTACTAGCGACTAATCCCCCATAATCCCCCACTTCTTGCTCAGGGCGCTGCGTTTGGTGCGCGCGTTTGGGGTTTCTTGCTCTTTTGACACATTTCTTCCGGGTTTGCCTTTGAAGTCGGTTTGCCTCCAGGGTCCCTTCTGCTTGGGGAAGGGCACAAAACAGCTTGCGCGCGGAGCCCATCTCGGGCTTGCGCGCTGGGTCTCAACTAAGAACTTCGACACGTGGTTCGGGGCGGCCTATGGCCTCACGGACTTCGCGAACGCCTTCCTTCAGGCCGGGGCGATGGCGTTGGCCATTAAAAGTAACTTTCTTACCAGGGCAAACACTTGAAAAAACTACAGCCACAAAAACACAACAAACTGGTCGACCCTTCCGAATGACAATTTCATTTGGTTGACGATCGCCCTTTGCCAAACCGGGCCTGTTTCAACTCGCCAACCGGGACGGGGTCTGACAATAGAAAAATGAAGACACTGCTGGAATCCGAAATCCAGGCTTGTGAGTTGTATTCTAGTACTTGTTTTAGGCAGGCTCACAGAAAAGTAGCTCGAGCTCACCATGACGTAGGTCCTTGGGAATCGCATGCAGGTTTTTGATTGATCCGAAGGGTTCCTCAACTGTTAGCTTGCATTTGCTGCTGATGTTTGCTTGGTGGAGCAACCACTGCGTGTGTGAAGATCTAGTTTCGAGCGGCACCCCCCACAACTGAACCATCAAATTCCGTAGCTGCTTGGAGGTTGGAGCCAGAAGGTTTGCTCCTTTGATCCTCAAAACACCCGGGTTTTAAAATTTCAAGTAAGCTCCGACTCATTTCCCGGATCACGCTGAGCCTCGCGCATGCGAGACAGCAAAGCACCACTGTTTTGTCTCCGCCCAAGTCACACCCATACTCATATGGGCGCACCGGATGTTGAGCGCAGTTTAGGGGTCAAATGCTTCTGCTTGGTGTGTTTGTTTTTCAATCGACACATCAACCAACCCTTTTCATAGCCCAAACCAAGGCACCAATCCTAAACCCACCCTAAACCACCAACCTTAAACAACCCCAAATCAACGTTAAACCACCTAAACCAACCCTAACCCCAAGGCCCTCAACTGAAATTTCGCCAGCGAGGTCACTTTCCCCTCCCTCGTGCTGGTGGATATCGCAGCAGTGCGCTGGTGCCTGGGCCAACAAAATGGAGGGAACAGGCACCCTTTGTTGGAGGATGCCAAGCCATACATTTATACCAGCTAAGTTGTCGGGGTGCTTTTTTGGGCAAGCGGACCTTTGTTTTGGGAAGGTCCCCGCTTACAGACAAAGCCAAACAGAGCTGAGGGAGGGTCAGATGTAATCCACCACGAACATGTGTTTGTTCTTCGACTCCGGTGATACTCGTACCAGGGAGCCGGAACCCCCTTGAATGATACACCTGCCTATCTTATGGTGCGGCCCACCGATTCGCTGCTAAAACAAGCTTACCTTGATGTGGGTCATTTACCTCGGGGATACCTTGCTTAAGGCTTTAGAATTGCAGAAATTGCAGACAACTAACCAAATATTAGGGACAATGCCCCCAGTGGTCCACAGCGGACAATTCCCACATAGACATATTGCGTTTGTGAATGGTCAGGGCACAAATTTGTTGGGGAAATTTGCCACTTTGTGAGCACCAAGAGCCGGAGTGATCATGTAGTGGGAATCCCGTGTTGGTATCCAGCCACTGCGGATTGACATTTCGTGAGGACTCAACCTGAGTCGAAGACTCCAAGAATTGGTGTGGCTCTTTCTTTGTTTGCGAGTACCCTTTTGGGGCTTTTCATGGGAAACAAACAGAACACCAGCCGTTTTTTGTGCATGCTCTGTTTTTAGACACGCCCCAGTGCCATTCGTGAATTGAGCACCGAGCAGTCATGTTCATGTAGAGTGGTTGCTGCGGGACCCCACAAACCGGCAAGGAGCACCCACCATCCTTAACATGGACCTCATGTTAGGATACTCCCATAGGGATCTTTGTTATCACCAACCTTTTCGCACTTCGCATCAAGGACAAGAGGAAAAGGGACCTCTATAGGAACGTTGCGATTTATCGCAACCAGATGTTCTGAAAAGGAAGCCAACACATGGAGGCACCCAAAGGTTCATAGGGACCGGTCCCAAGATCCGCATGGAATGGCTCCGGTTTCGGAAACCCCGGTCGCGGAAACGGCAAAATCATTTCTATTTTTAGGCGGGATTTTTAAAGAGACACCAGGCCCGCAGCCCCATTTGTTTGTTGTTACACCCGAGAGTGCAATGGTCAAATCTGCCAGGTGTGGGACTCCCTAAGTTCATGACGATGGTGGGTAGAGCTTTTCGGAACCGAGGGAAAACCACATGTGCCGCTGGGGTCTTGGGGTAGCCAAATCCAGTTGACCCGATCCTAAGGAAGTACCCGGCCTCTGAGATCTTCGCTCGGGGCCCAGATCGGTGGAGTCGATACGACTGGTCATGATAGGAGCCCGGGCAAGTGAAGGCTGGGAAGGGACACTCCCAACCTCAAATAGGCGAAATAGGTGCGACCCCCTTTTTTTTTTTGGAATAGTGTTTGGGTCAACCAGTTTAATGCCAGGTTTTGAATGTAGCTCCTGCGTGGTAACATCCCCCGATTTAATCGTCCTCCCCTTGCTGAGAGCAACTAAGACCTCCCTTCCCAAGTTCCTGCACGTTGTACTTCCTGGGAAGACCATTTTGTAGCACTCAAAAGCAATCTGGCGAATCCAAGAAGGAGCTTTTTTCAGAACTGAGCAAGTGGTAAAGAAAGGTTGGTGGGTTTGGAATCGATGAAAATTGCAAGCGACTGCCCACGCTAAGAAAGCCGTGCCTAAGTGCCGAGTGTTCAACTTGTTTCCTACTTGTACTGTATGGGGCATTTTTCACCGTCACAGATTGCAAGTAGGTTGGTAGGGGGGCTTGTTCTTAGCCCCAAAGATACTGGGATACCTGTTCTTCGCAAATGACTTTGGCCGAAGCTGTTTTGGGGTAGACAGTTTCCGATGAGGTTGGACCTTGGATCTCGACGTGCTTCCAATTGTTGGTCGATTCACATATGAAGACCCTAATCTTGATTGCTATTGACACGTCCATTTTGTCTTGTTTGCTTCGCGTTGGTTCTGCTCATGTTCAGTATGTTTAATGTTTGCGGGGGGTGGTCTTGGCATGTGTTTTGAATCTTTGTTTTGTTTGGTTTGCCGTTCATTCTTAGAGAGGTAGGCTGAACAGATCTGAAGCGCCCTAAAAAACCATTCGTGTGGGATCACCAAGCATCATACTTGTGCTTTCTAGCGTATAGGAGCACGCCTACATCAGCAAAGGGAACACTGTCTTGCATCCACTTATTGTCACCACCGGGTTCTACGGTGGGAAAGTTCGGCAGCTGGCCGCCAGGCGTGAGCCTCCCAATCTCCCAGTCCCGATGCGGATGCACTGCCTAGGGCCCTCCTATGGTCGGTAGAAGCCCATCCCATTTGATAGACCACGCCATGAGGCACCATCAGCCCCTCCCTGAAAGCCCTTAGAAACCATTGCAATTGCCATGTGGGTCGGTGCTTTTCTGAGATCTTTTTGCTTTAAAGTGAAGCCAAAAGGAAACCAACATGTTTGGGTCCCCCGAATTTGAGACAACCCCTATCAAATGCGTTTCTTGCACCGGTTTGATTCGTGTAGGGGCTTTGGACCTGAGTTTGTACCCCTAGCTCCGCAAAAAGACCAATTGTCAGTTCACCCCTAATTCGTGGTTTGGATTGGTTCGTGGATTTGAACCCCTGGATCTTGAGGGATGGGAAGCTACCCCGCAACCACCAAACCAATCCAAACCATTGGGAAGCTGAAATCCATGATTCCCTCTTCCAAATCCATGGCCCACGAGAATCTTGTCTCAAGCCGCATGTTTTGTGAACCCTTTCAATCATCCCGTATGGTTTGCTTCAAGGGAATCCCTAGGTTCCTTCCTAGGTCTCCCAGTAGTGCCCTCTTGCCCTGTTTTGGGGGAGGGTTCCCCTACTGAAATAGACCACAGAAAAAACGGGCACTTTTGTTCTATCCTCTCTACTGGAGGACCTGGCTTCAACATTTTGGTCATTCCCTACCTATCGCACCAGCAAGTCGTTTCTGCGTTTCGGCTACGACCATCCAACCTGACACGTCGAGGGCCTCTGCTCCGCGGGTCTGGAGGGGGAGGACTTCTCTACGGTGGCCAACGTGGACAAGAACAGCTCCTTTGGCCGAAGGTTGATCGTTTCCAAAAGGTGCCGATGAAGGAGGTATTGTTCATATGACATATATATATATATATACATATCATATGTATATATATATATATATAATATTCTTTTGTATACTGTATATGTTTCGTGGAAGGTGGTGTTAATCACCATGGGGGGGCAGAGAACAGACGAGTTTCACTCGGTAGGGCTGATGGTTGAAGGAGCCTGTAAGGGACACTGGGACAATCAAACTTGGGAGGAGGGGTACTGACTCCCTCTTGGGGTCATCAAAGCCAACGGTATTTTTGTTGTTCCCTTCAAGCTACCAGGAAAACTCCTAAATTGGTGGGTGGCTTCGGGATTTCAACTTGTAAAGAGCAACTGGGAAACCACCCCTAAGCTCCAAAGGCCACAGGAACAGCCTCAAGAGCTCGGTCCTACGATCCAAAGGCACCAAAAGAAGTCATAGCAAGGGAAAGGTGCCGTGGGTTGCAACTGGCGTCCCAACTCCCCGCAAAAAATATTGGCCAGCTTGATGTATGTTTTGGCGGATTTGGGATGGTCCAGAGGCCTCAGAAAGGGATTTGGCTTGGCAACAGCACCCATGAGACGGGCCTTTGTGGAGGTCCCAGTCGCAACGCAAGGGTGGTGCCATGTTAGGCCACACCCTTTGAAGTCTTTGAGAATCCCCCTGTTTGGGGATGAAAGCAAAGGGAGACTCATTTTGGGTTCCCTTACTTGGCACAGCTAACAGAGGGCTTGGTTTTCAAACGAACTCATCTTGCTTCTTTTAATCGGCAGGTCATCAAGTTCCGGCCACTTTGAGTTCCGGTCAACGTGGTCAAAGACCTGCTCGGGTGAACAAAACTCGTGTTGCTGGTGCGATAGGGAATGACCTTCCGGGTTTTGGGAATGAATCGTTTTGGGATTCCCATAAAGGAAACAAGAAGGGATGGTTTATAGTGGTCATTCCCTCATTCCCTGACAACCAGCAAGTAGTTGGAAGTCTAGTCGAAGCTTAGTGTGAAGGATCGTTTTCCGCCAGAACTCGTTGCGAGTGTCCGCGCTGAAGCCGATGTCGTGGAGCGGATCCAAGGCACGCCCTTCCCGCCCCATAAATGGCCTGTAACTCCCTTGTGGGTGGTTCTTCAACGCCTTTTGGAAAGGCCGAAGTAGAAAGTGCCTGGTTCATAGGCTGCCGTGTTTTGTTGGGGAGCCCTGAGCCAAGTTTCTGCGGAGTTCGCAAGTGCACGGAAAATCAAATTGGAACTTTGTTACTGTTGTTTTACTTGTTCCGTCGCGCCCGTACTTATTAAACAACAACATAACTACAGTGTTGCAGCAGCGATTTGTGCCTCAAGTGTCATCCCCAAAAAGATGTGGTCAGTTTCTTTCGCTGAACGGTTCAGCATGCCCTGTCCTAACGTCGTGATGGTAGAGATGGTTCAGATCCATCTTCTGCACCCTGGAACAAGGCAGGCCATTGGCGGATTCCTCACTTGAGACCAGGACAACCCGGGGTCTCTGTTTTCAGGTGGGGCAGGTTTCGTGTTGACCAAGCTCACTGGTTGCAACCAAGGTCCCTTTTAGGTTACCTTGGACAAATGTATGGCCTAAGATGCAAGGCCTAAAAGTGTGAGTTTCGTTTTGGTATGCCAAACTGGTCCCAACAGAATTCTCCAGAGTAGCCTGGTTGAGTTTCACCCAGAGCAGTGGGTGTGTCTCAAACTCGGGGGACCCCAAGTGGTTTCCCTTTGCCCCTCACCAAAGCACGCTACCCCAACAAGACAAGGATGTCACACTCCCAACTAACATGTTCTTCTTGATTCATGTTTAACATAGCTAACCCGAAAACATGATGTTCACCATGTTGTCTTATGATACAACCAAATGCACACGGGCAGATTCGCCCGAAACCGATTCCGATGTTCCGATTTTCCGCTCAGCTGCCTACGTGACGCCGGTGGTCTTTTACAGCTCCTACGCCTGCCGCAGGTCGGAGAGTCGGAGAGCTGAGGGTTTGACCCTTTGGCTAAGAATCTGGCATTGCCTCTTGTTGGTTTAAAAGGGAATCTATCACTACTGGAAATATTTTTGTATTTGTTCCGATTTTAACGAGAATCTATCACTACTGGAAAATATATTTTTTATTTGTTCCAGGCGGCTAAAGCAAATGGAAGTGAAAAGGAATTGGTTCCTAGAGAAGTGGGAACAACCAAAATGGTTGGCCAAAAAGTGGCGCTCCAAAGATGCTTTCCTTACCAAATGGTGGCCGTGCCCTGCGACACGATTCGCACGTACACACCATTCTAGAACTTCATGCGCAAATAGACATCAATGAGACATGACCCATGTGTCACAATTACCGCATTGTGTGTACATATTCGTCTATACAGGTGCCTTTTCCCGGTGCAACCAGACGTGTTTCGGGCACTTAGAAATATGCCCCGCGCAGGGTGCGGGTGACCTTGGGCCCAAACATGGGCACCTTCGGGCAGCAGCCCGTCATCGCCATCCGCGAGATCGCGCCTCGGACCAGTCGAGTCGGGAAAAAAAAAAAAAAAAAAAAAAAAAAAACGACGCCCAAGACTCTGGTTGCCACGAGAGATAGCCGAGTTGGATTAGTTGGACACCACAAATACCAGAGTTGCCAAAACCTATTGCCGTAATTAGTTCGATTTCCACGGAGTGGATTCTCTTGTTGCGCGTGGGGAATCCAACCGAAATTGAGATGGACCACTTGGTATCACAAGGGTAAGACCTCCACAACCCGGGAAGTCTCCTGCGTTTTTTTTGGGGGGGTGTTTTTTTTTTCCCCCCCGTGAAAGAACCATTGGGCTTTTGGAGAAGCCGGACCAGACTCGTCTCAGTCCAACTCAATGCCCACCCCCCACAGAATCCCTTGGTAACGGCGGTCCTCAGACCCCGTTCCAGTATGACAAATACTATTGTCCTGACATTTCTTGATATCTCTGCATTCCAACTGTTGAAAAGGCCCCTTGTCCACTTCTGTGATGGTGGGAAAAAGGCTGAGGGACCTTCACTTGTTTTAATTCTGGCTGGTCGACTTTTGCTGGACAGCCCAGAAAGCCAACCATTAGGCCCAGGATGCTGTGAAAATCTGAATTAGTTCATCCATGGAGAACAATCTAGGGTTGCTTCGGATGGTCAAGGGGATGTCCAAACGAGTGAGAATGGTATTCCTGCAAACCTTTTGTCCACTTCAATCGTCGCACATGGGAACGATTCGCTTTCCCCAGGTTGGGAAGTTAGAGTTATGTTGGTGAACCTGAACCCGTCAGATTGGCCCATAGGACCCTCCAAAGGTGACTTTTGTTTGGTTCCTTTGGATTTTTACATAAATAAGCCTGGGCTTGTCTTGCTTGCGGATCGATGAAGGTTTAGCGTCTCCTAAACCAGATGCTGGATTCTCCGCAAGTGGAAGTATCCGGCAATAGGGGACACCCAAATCAGGGTTCCTTTTGAGTCACATTTCAGCAGCTTTAGAAGCCGTATTGATTGAATGTGGCAATATATGTTACTGGTACGTTTTTTCTTCTATGATCATGACTTGAATTTATATAGCCCACAATCCTATTGTGATGATTTGAGCTTGTAGCTTTGTTTGGAATCTTGGTTGGTTGCAAAACAAATTTCCTTGGCACCTTTGGAACCTGCCAACACAGGGCTGATCCATTGACGGCACTGGCCCGAATCCGAAGAAGAAAAGAAAAGAAAAAGATCCGCCGCGCAGAAGTCCGCGGTGAGACTATGCATATTGGAGTGTGTTTCTCGTTGTTTTTTCGGGGGCCGCGCAAAATGTTGGTGTTCCTTTCGGTTGCCCCTTTTAAAAGAACCACAAAAAGGGCACCTTCAACAAAAACAGGAGCACCTATTTTATGGGTTTCGAGCTCACTGATGCGCGGAAATCAGACATCCCGTGAGCAATCTTCGATGAGATCGCGCAGTCCCCCAGAAAAGTAACATGCTCATCTTCTTTGTCTTCGGGCAAACATACGGCCAGCAGTTGTTCTGATTAAGACAGAAAGCACCGCTTTCGCAACAACTTCTACACGGTACTACACAGCCGCCGCGCATCCACATCTCTCCAACAGCCAAGCTGAGCATTCAGAGCGCACCAGCACCGCACGGAAGCTGCTTGTAGCAACGCGCAATCCTGAGGTGAACCTTCAAACGCTTCCTTTGTCTCCGGTGAAGGGTACTTTTTCATGCTTTGGGTAGTGCCACGTACCAACGTATCTTTCCAAGAACACACCTAGCGTTATCCTTGAACCAACAAGAACGCGGACAACACAGATCTTCAAGAGTCAAGACTACTTTCCGTTAGGAAAAGCATTCTGTGCACCCAGCCTTGTTTCGTTGGAGAATAGCTGCCAACATTAGCTCCCATAGTCATGACTTAGTTTGGCTTTATGGTACCCCATCCCCCATGTCTCTTTTTGTTGCCCCATCCTCCATGTTATTTCTGTTTGGCCCAATCCTCCATGCAATTTATTGCCATTTTGTTTTTTTTTGGCTTGTCTCCCCCGTGTGTTTTTGGGCTTGCGTTTTTTGTGGGGCTTGCCTCCTCCATGTGTTTGCTTTTGCTTTACCCAACTTGTTTCGCCCTTGCTCAGGTACCCCTTAGTGCGTGGTTCGGATTGCTGGTTTGGGTATTTGAACCTGGCTTTTGTCGAGGGTATACGGTATATGGGAAACTCCCAAACCAAGACACTTCAAACCACCAATGGGCTCCTGCACCACCAAACATGGACTCCCTAACTTACTTACCACCCAACCGGGCTCCAAACCAATTGGAGGGCTCGCTGACTGTCTGCCTCGAGGAAGTCTACTCCACGCAGGAGGACATCACGCTGAACCGCCCGGTCTCAGCCAACGACGGCTCCGTGGCGGCCTTCGCGACCGACGACAGCGCCTCGTTAGACAAAAATGACTCGCGCGAGCGAGCGGGTCCCCCAGCTAGGTGCCCGTCTCTACCCCTTTTTTTGATTGGGAGGGTTCGCCTACTAAAACTGGACTACAGAAAAAAAGGGTACCCTTATTCTAACCTCTCTACTGGAGGAACTAGGAAAGAGAAACCAAAGGAAAACCACGTGTTCCGGGGGTTCCCTATGCGGATTTTGTATTTTTGTCTTTTTTATGAGGGGGTTGGGCTGTTTGAACATTACATTTTGGAAAGGCCAATTCCCATTCGACTTCCTTTTTGGTGGGATGATGTTTAAGGGGGACATACAGAAATATCGCCATGGGTCAAAAGCCCGTACCCCCAGTGAACATCCCAATCCTCAATAAAATAGACTCCTACCCCAAAATGGTACCATTGGTTTTGACCCATGGCCATATGTTGGCGACATCTGCCGGGTCCTGTCGGAAAGCAGCTTCATTCCCGCGGATTCCAAGTAGGGCCTTGTCATGTGGACAACATCCACTTCGCAGCAGTTGAGATGCAGCAGTTGGTCCCTTCTTTGGCAGGGCTCCTGAAAAGATGCATTTTGCCCATTTGAAACATGGCTTTTTCCACCAACATAAAGGGACACCTCCATTTACAAGGCAATGTTCAGGTGTATAGTGTAAGGATCCCTGTTTGGGTCGCGGCTGAGTTTGCGATCTCAGGTGACGTGACGGTTTGGAGCTCTTTGTCCCTGAACGAGACCTGGTTGACGCCGCTGGGCCCGAGGAATCGGTCGGCTTGTGTCTTCCATTTGCTTAGGTCTTCTGTGTTTTTCTTGATTAACTTCCTCAGTTCTTGGACCTCAAACTTTTTGAGAAGACCATTCTAGGGGAAAATAAGAAGTTCATACTTTGTTTGGGCCATCCACTCAAGAAAGGAGTCTCGCCTGTTGGTTGTGAAGGGAATCTATCACCGGACATATGTGCATTTGTTCCAAGGACGTAAGCAAATGGAAGGGGTGTGTCTCTAAAACAGGGAGCCCTCTTTTGGATGGTTAAGGAAAACAGGCCACCAACTTGCACCAACCGCTCTTGTGAGAACCTTCATTCCTTTTTCACCGGAGTTTGAATCGTGCAGGGCTGGCAAGTGGGTGCCTTTGAACGCGAGCCTGGCTTCCATCCCTGTCATCCACACTCGGATGCTGAACCCACTCAACCCAGGTACGCATGCTTCTAACTGGGGCAACTGGGGTTTCTTCCGTTGGAACCGTGGGTGTTCTCAACTAACCCTTTAGCTAAACTGCTGGCTAACCACTTAGCTCAGCACTTTGTTACACTTACATAAGACTTGTCAAGTGACTTGCAAACATTACAAGTAGACAATGTCTTGCAAGGCTAAATGGTTAGCAACTGTCAAGCCAAGTGGGAAGAAACGATGCAGGACTTATCGCACTTAGCGTATCGGCCACCGATACGATTAGCTATCTCGCAAAATGAAGGATGCGTCATATACCATTTGTATCGTACTTCTACGATATGCTTGGAACTTGCAGGCAACATGCAGCCGGCTTATAAGCACATTAGTAACTCCCAAAGTCCTGAGCCCCAGCCAACCGCCGGACCATCTAAGTATGACCCACTTGCCTGATGCGGCCTGGGGGCATAGGACGCCACAGACTGTTATATTCTGAGAGCATTACTGCTCCTACTCCTGAACATGTTGAAAAAGTACCGCTTAATAATCTAGCTACAATGGAAAAGAGGTCTACAAGCTTAAACGTCAGCTCGTAACTGTAAATGAGTAGTTTGGAGTCTGTCAAGACACAACTGCTGGAAATTAGGAAAGACCGGGATCTCTTCATGGACCACAACGTATTGTGTTTGGCTGGGCGAAATCAGAGGCAGATGTGGCTTGAGCATCCAATCACTTTGCTCGCTATTGCCCTAGGATCGACACGGAGAGCAACTTCTCAGCTTGGGGCGCCCGTATCTTGAGTCCTTCCACCAGCATCATCGACGCATTCGATATCCAGGCGCGGGGGACGTCAGACGGCAGGTGGACAGCGGTGGTTCAAGGCCAAAACCGCAGTGGCATCTTTCGATGGAGGCATGGAGTTCGTTGGGCAAACAAAAGGGCTTGTGTGGTTTTGTGTGGCTTGCTGCCGGCAGGTTTCGTTTTTGTGATGAGGAGGGGCATTCGTTTTTGGGGGGTGGGGGTGAGGTTGGGATCCAAGCTTTGGATCCGGGCTACTCTCCCCAAAAACCACGAGCAGTTACCGCGTGTCTTAAGCTGTATCTTGAAGTCTCAAATACCTCCTCTGTTGGTGGGGCAGGGGGCCAATACAACTCGCATGTTCGCCTTCCAATGGGCTGTTTTGGATGTGGTTTCCTGCAACCAGCTGCGCGCCAAATCTGCGCCTTCGGCGTACACGAGATGTGAAGCGAAGGTCTCAGACGATGGCGACGTCTTCGACACCGTCTACACCGTGCAGGCGAGTCCGGGGTGGGCTTTGTGGCTGGCTCCCTCGGGTGTGAGGCAGCGGGTTTGGGCTTCAGGGAAACAGCAGGTTTGTCTGAAACTACACTCCAAAAATGAGATCAAATGTCAGGTTTTCTTCCTTGCCGAATAAGGCCGACAGGACCCTCAACAAAACAGAACACGCCCATGTTTGTCTTTGCCTTTCTCTATTGTCCACAAGAGGAGTTGTTTGAAGCAGGTGAGGACTGTGAACTGTGAGGGAATTTGAGCAGGAAAGGACCACCGATTTGACCGAAACACGTGTCCGATCCGCTATATTAGTGCCAGTTTCCCGCACTCACTGCTCCATTCAGTTGTGAGTGTGTGTGTGTTTTTGTTTCTTTTTTTTTCTGAAAGATGACGAATTGCAACGAAACCAGCAGCACGGCCCAGAAACGAGCTGCCCATGTGGTGCCACGTTTCGCACAGTCGCCATTGCTAAAGGGTCCCACCTTGCCACATCTACTCACCTCGTGCGAGGCCTCTCCAATGTTCACAGTCTAAGCATCAGACACAAACCTTCCAACTGCCCCTCTCCAATTGGAAGGCGCCTCCAAAAAAGGCGCTTCGAGGTAGCAAGATGCTTTGGAATCTTAGGAGGCTGCATTTTTGCTCCAAAAGTGGCTCTTGCACGGAGCGTGAGCATGGCCCCCGCGTTTAGCACGGCTTTCGCTCAGAGCAACCTGAACAACGACCTTTGGGTCATCCAGCGCTTCTCTGGAAGAGTCTCAGAAGAGATAACAGGGGCGTAACACGGCCAACTCAAAGGACTGTCAACGTTTTTGGGGGTCCCCCTATGTTGATACATACTCTGACCTTGAACAATTAATAGCTTCTTGGTGGAATGGCAATGGCCAAGAGGAGTGGGAACACTTTGCAATAGCTTCTCAGTCGCTTTGTTGTACTTGGAATCTCTATTTGGAGAAGGACTTGGTACAGTTTATGACTTATGATCTGTGTGGCTGAGGGGATGTGAGTGCTCTGTTTCTGTCTCGTGCCTTATCCTTTGAATGGCTGCCAGCATTTCTGGCGCAAGTTCAGTCCAAAGGGGGAGAGTGAGAGGTTGTAAACCACCTTAGCTGTCAAATCAGTTGCAAGAATCATGGCAACCAAAAGGACTTGATCTGTTTGTTTCTGGGGACGGAGCAAACATGGCAATCATTGGGCTGGAGGCCAACAACTACCAACCCGTTGACAGACCCAACAACGAGTTGTTTCTAGACATCATTGATACTGTTTGTGATGCCCTTTGAATTAATCGTCGTGGTGATTAGTTCTGTGCGAACGCTGCCTTTGAACCAGCAGATCGTCGTCTATTTGGTCTCCCAATGGGACCTATCCAAAGACATCTCTGTTTGCTTTCCCTTCAAAACAATTCCACATCACTTGTGTACCATTAAGCAAGACACCCTTCCAAAATCATCAAGCTGGGCTTCTGGCTGAGATGTGAAGGCTGACTCTAGTTGCAGTCGCGAGAGGAATGGTCAAAGCACTTAGGATGGCGGAGTTTAGACCATGGTACGCATGTGAACTGGTCTGGGCATTTGCTTGTTTGAAGGTTCTTGGGCTGACTCTCATCAGCTCCGAATGGAGGTGTTGGACAGCCATTTCGAGAATAGTTGCAGAATCTGTGCTCAGCAGAAAGTTTGTGTGCCGCACGCGGTTGCACAGTCAGACTCTTGCCTTCACCGGCTGCTATTCTCTCTACAGCCTTTCCACAGTGAGCTGCCGAGGATACGTGCGCTTCGTGTTCAAGGTTTCTTTGGCCAATGCCTTCTATGTGCGTACGATCAGGCAGGTCTGCAGAGCTGGGCTTTGAGTTGTCAGGTTGAAGATTGGAAGCATGTGTGTGTGTGTGTGTGCGAGCGCGGGTCTGTGTCTGTGTGTGAGTTTGTGTGTTTGTGTGTTTGTGTGTCTGTGACGCTGACCAGTCTATTTGGGAGGAGAGCCCCTATCCCATTTGCAGCCACAGCCATGTTGGTGTAGCTGTCTTGCTATACAGATGTCTTCAGGCTGCATGAATCCGGACAGAACCTTTATTTGAAACAGACCTCAAATGGACGATGGACATCAGAGAAGGCGAAGGGAGGCGAAGGGATTTCCCCTGTTTAATTTCAGATATGCATCGAACTGTGGAGTTCTCAGCTGGCGCTTTGTTCAGGACTTGTCCTGGGCAATGAACAATCAGTGTTTGCAGAAATCCAGTGGAGGAGTCCTTCAATCTCAGCTTTGTAGAAGCCAAGCAATGTGAGAAGCAGATACCGCGCAAACTTCAGCTCCAGCACTAAACTGCTGCCTGTCCCACGTGTTTGCAGTTCGAATATTTTGTTTGTTTCCCATCCTTACCTGAGCTTCGGTATGCATTTCTCTACCCGGCTATCTTCATGTTTGCCGAGGTGCCGTGTGGGTCCAACAACAAACTACCAAACATCTGAGCTACTCCCCTCCCCCCAAAACGAGGACCTTCATCTTGTGCTATCAAAGGCTGCCAAGGCAAACCCACCTTACAGTGTCAGCGACTATCAAGGGTAAGGTCACCAAAAAAAGGGACTTCGGCCAAGGCAGAACCCACCAGACGTCTTCCCTTGATTTCCTATTAAGGCCACTCTAAAAAGTTTCGTAGGGCCCGTTTCGGCCCTGAGCCTTCTGGGGAAGCACCGAAGGATCTTCGCCACGCCGAACCTGGCACTGGGACAGGACTTGACTCCGGGAAACGGGCTTGGCCTTATGACAAGGAAAGACATGCTGTTTCTCAGCAGGGAATCAACCAGAAAATTTTTTCCTTAAAGCAAACCAGGACTGATTCATGGGGATGGTTGCCTCAAGGGGATCAACCTTGAATGCTAGATATTATGTCACAACCTTGAATGTAGATACTTCGAATGACCCACAGAAACGCAAACGCCGTCACACATTTGTGCATTCAAGGAACAATCAAGTTGTCGGTGTGCTGGTAGGAAAGGCTACAAATGTGAATCTCTTTAAAGCATCGGACATCCTCCAACATGATCTGGTTGATGTGCGTGTTCGATGATTGGGATATCCAAAAAGGGAGTTCTCACAGTATTTCTTGGAGTACCCCTGTTTCCTAGAATGAGTTTCAGGGGTGTCACTTCGGAGCGTTATGAGTTTAGCCTATGAGCTGGCAATGCTGGGATTTGAATACCTCTCACACTTAGGAGAGATATACGTATATTAAGACATACTACATATATATATATATGTACATTGTGCTTGATTGTCGTAATGACAACGATACTTATGGAGTGGTTGGGGATTCGTTATTATCGATTTAGTTTATATAATTATTTTCTGGTGTGGTGTTTGAATGTAAAGAAGTATGTACATTGTTTGATGTTCTAGCCTAGCTAACCGCAATGCTAGACATATGCTCAAAATTGTAGAGCAACGGCGACCCCTGAAGCAAAATGTGACATGATACAACTGCATACAGGGGTTCTTATAGTTTCAGCATGTACACTATGTACATACATGCTGAAGAATGGGCTTCATTTTCCCCAGTAAGGCACACACACACACATAACACGCTGTGTAGTCATCTTCTCCAAAGCATGAAGGAGCACTTGCCATGAAGCTTCTTAAATCTATATATATATATATATACATATAGGTGAATTGTTGTTCAGCCCAGGCAGATTGTAGAAAGTTCCGTGAGAGGTTCGGCTGAAACCAAATTTAGTATCGCCAACTCATTCGTTGTCTAGTTCCTTTGGATGCTTGAAGTCGGATTGGGTCATATTGGGTCGAAATAATGGACCTCAGCATTGGGAGCCCCCCCAGGGGAAAGGCACCTCCATACGGCTTGGGACGGACCACTTTGTTTCAAGAGTTCTCGGGTTTTCTCAGGGTATTTCCAGTATTTCAGGGACCTCAAAACGGCCCACTGAGGTTCCATAAATGTCTCGGGTATCTGAGGCTGCCTTGATTTGGGTGTGGGTCAAAAATAGGTACCCAACATGGAACCCTGGTAAATGGAACCAATGACTACAACCTGCGGTCCGATTCCTGGTGGCTTTATTTTGACCCATGCCCATTTGCAGCGCCTACCAGCTCCGCCGAGGAGACATACGCGCCCTACCGCTGGGACCATTCCGGCGTGGAGGCGGTGGATGGCCTCAACGAGACCATTTGGCGCGGGGTTCGGGACGCAACCGACGGACCGTGGCGCTTTTTGGGTGGCTGGGTGGCTGGGTGGTTGGGTGGGTGGCTGGGTGGGATGTGGGGCTCGGTTTTGGGTTGAACTTCAGCTCCGCCCTCTTGTAGGTCTTCCGGAGTGAGGCGACAAGGTGAGGCAGAATGTAGGTGGGCAGATTCGGCCGTGGATCGAGCCCTTTTGCCATCTTTGGCATGAATGCTGCGTTTGGAACCTTGAGTGGGGCAGGCAGCACTGGATTTCCAAGTCATTGTGCTTCCAAAGAAACTCCAAGTCTTAGGAAACTCCAACTCTTAGGCCATACGCTGAATTACCTGGAGTCCCCATGACCCTGCGCTTATTTGAGGGTCTCTTACTTTTGGGGTCCCGGAGCCCAGGATCGCTCCAGGAAGCTCCATCCCAGCGGCGCAAAAAAACGCGTCGGCGGCGTCGACAGGCTGTCGGAGCCCTTGGCCACCCGCGCCAACGTGCGCCTGGACCTCGGGGAGCAGACCTTCATCGCCGGGGGGATGGAGCTCTTCTGGCTCTACCCGCCCACGGACCGGCGTTTTTTCTTCTTCTTCTTTTCGCACGCCGGGGGGGGGGGGGGGGCGGCCGGAAGCCGGCGAAGCGGATTCTTGGGCAAAAAACTGATCAAGAGGACGATGTTGGTTTTCCAAAGTGGATCAGGGGAACATCGGATCTGAGGACAGTCTGCCAAAATCCTGTCCACTTCTAGAAAGAGGGTAGAGAAGCCAATTGGCAATCTGGGCTGGGAAGGAGCTTCTTTGGAGGTTAACCGGTTGCTCACGTATTTAGTCCCTGCACTGACGATTTGCAGAATTCCCAGTTTGAAAATGCAGTATATTTTGCCAAGGGGTCCTGTTAAAGTTTGCTTTATAGTTAAATTGGAGTGAATACCCGCCGTCTTTCCCGCCCTTCCGTATCCCAGTTGATTTGTTTTTCTTTTTTAACTGGGGGGCGGGGAGAGAGGGTTGGGTGTGTTTGGTGTAGAAACAGGCCGTTGAACAACACCACACAAGGTGCGGACCAAGGGAGAGAGGTGTCTAGGGTTTTTGTTGGAGTTTGCTATGTGTTTGTCTTGCTTTTGGGGATTTGGGCTTAGATGTTTCGTTTCGGGAAAGGTTGGACACCATTTCTGAACGTCAGCTTGATGTGCAAGCGCGGGTGCAAAGTTGGTTAGTTTCTTTGTCCATGGTAATTTGACAGGATTCGGGCGCGAGTAAAGCAGCACATGTTTGACATGTTGTGGCACCAGGTTGTCGTCCGAAGTGAGCATAGTCCATTCAAGGGTTTCCACCAGCTTCAGACTGCGTGCTCCACTCAATCAGTGCAGAGTGCGTGCTCTTTCAGGGCGTGTAATTTCCCTCTCAAAGGCTCGCCACGGTTGTCGCGGTTCTCCACCTAGGTCCGCAGCTTGGGGTTGTGACACACTCAGCTGCCCGGACCTCCGAGCTCGCGGCGGGAGAGCGCGCAGAACATGGGAAGCCGACAAAGCAAGCGCAGATCAGAGAAACGAAACAGGGGCCTGCGAAGAGAAGCCCCCCATTGACAATGTGCTGATTGGGCTTAGGGCGCCAGATACAGCTGATTGTTGCATCGCACAGCAGCGAACTAGCGAAAAGGTGCTGAGGGGTGCTAGTGGCAAGCGCCAGAGAAGCCGGACAGACTCCCTGCCCCGATCGGGTGGAAGTATTGATGTTTTTCAGCGGCACAAAAGACCTGCCATGCGCCGCGAACCCGGGAGCAAATCAGCCAGTGAAAAAGCCATGCGAGGCGACAAACTCAACAGCAAGAGCCACGTCACGTAACCTTGCACAAGTCACCCTTTCTGCCAACCCTAGAATACTGGACCCCTCTAGGACCCCGTTTGGTTTCCCAAAGCCGTCATGCAAAAGGGGGTTCCAATCTATTTGGAGACAAAGAAATGACTCGCCGCTGAACAAGTCGGCAGGACTTTGGTATCTTCCTCAGCGCCCTGGCGGGAAGTGCGGAGGCAATGGCTCACGAGGCAATGTCCAAGTAGGTAGCTACAGTGATACTGTGGATGAACGAAATCCTGCACCGCTTGGAAACCATGGGAATCCATTGTTTGTTGGTATTTACAAGGGAATCATCATGCCAGGGATTCTTAGGTGGTGCAGGATTTGGTCCACCCACAGTATCTGGAGCGACTAAGCGTTTGGACTGTGTGTGTGTGTTTGGCACCCATTTTGGGGTTGGTTAAAGGGAAAACGAAAAGGACAAGCACCGTTTGGTGCGGTGCTCCTATTTTGGCAGATACCCCAGATGGCGTTTCAGTCAATTCCTGAACATGGTCATGAATCATTGAGTTTTGCGATTTGGTGGCCAAGGGAATCCAATTCCAAGGCAAAACGACAATCCAGCGAGAATGGCCCACGTTGGTATCAAAGAAAAGGAGTTATGTTCCACTCACCGCAAGGGCCCCCGAGTTATGTCCTAGGTTTGGCGGGCTGGGTCCGGTCGGTCGGTCGGCCGGCCGGTCGGTCGGTCGACCGCCCACGCTAGACCAACCAACCCTAAGCAAACCGCAAAGCAGCCCTAAACCAGCACCCTACACCAACCCCAAACTCACCCTGAGCCAGCGCCAAACCATCCCTAAGCCACATAAAATCAACCTGACCCACACTCTCAGCCAACCCTATACCAATCCTAAACCCACCCGAAACCACTCTAAGCCAACACTAAACTTGCACTACGCCAGCCTAAATCCACCCGAAACCCACCCGAAGCCAGCCCCAAACCCACACCAAACTAGTTCTAAACTATCCCGAAGCAAACCAACTAACCCGAAGCATTTTTTTCAATCCCTTTAGCCAGATGATGCCGGGGGTGTTGAACAGGATGGCGGCCTCAAGCACGATGCTGGGGATGTTGACTGTGCTGGTGTAAGACTGAGCATTTTGTTGGGCACTACTGTAAAACACGTCATTTAGTGCCCGCCGAACCTGGGAAAAACAAGCCCTCCGAACCCAGGAACCCAAAAAAAAACATCCGCCCACGTCAAGGAGAGGCATAGAAAGGGCGGATATTCAACACGGTTCTTCGCAGCGACCCTTTTTGACCTAAGTTTGCCAAAGCACGGGGATTGTCAGTAGCTCCTTGGTGCCCAGAAGTTTATGATTGAACATGGTGGGAAAGCATGGCTTGAAATTACAGGTCGTCTTTCTTGAGGGCACCTTTTGGGAGTTGCTTTGAAAGGACACTGAAGGTAAGCCACCATTTTAGTATATCAGGGAGCACGGAGCTCTCTCATGTTGATTCATCCTTGTTAAGTGTTCACAAGTTGCAACGAGCTGAAGTGACAAACTGCGCGCTGTGGCCACAACTTTGCTCAGAGTATTTTGTGCGGCGCCTTGTGGCTGGACGAGATAATGCCTTTGATTGCAAAGATCCACAAGGAACCTTAAGCTGTTCCCTGGCTCTTACATTTGAAGACTGCACCAAGGGACCATCCGTTTTGTTCATACCCACTGCGGGACTCCTCTTGGGTGAATCAATGAGAGCGACCAGGAAACCTACAAAAGAGGTCTTTTCAGAGGGTCCCCGACCCCGAGCCTGTATGGAGAGTCTCAGAAGCTCGCCCCTGGACCATACCAATTTGTTTGAGGACCCGACATGGAATCCAGGCAACGTTTGCTCGGGGTTACTCTGAGGTGGACATGTTAGGAACAGTTCAGGGCCGTTTCTGGGTTTTGGATGGATTGCAAACCCGTGGCTACTGGGTAACTCACTTCGGGTCTGATGATATGCCTGCCGCTCGGACCGGCGCGCCGAAGGTAACGACACGGTGTCCTGGGAGGTACTTTGGAGCACCACAGGCCAGGCAGTCACAGCTTCCGAAGCCAAGTCGAATGCCGAAACCCTCCTAAAACCCGTGCCCCTTTCAAGCGAACCAAACGGCCCTTTGCCTAATCCCTAGCATCAGGTGGACTGACTAAAGACGGGAATGCAGGTGAGACCTTGAGAGCGGCCCTGTGGTGGAAAGATTCAGGGTGACAGTTGGTTTCCTGTTCGATGGTTAGCTGTGCTCATGATGCGAGGTATTGTTATGGTCCTGCTTGTGTTGGTCAGCACTAGGAATCGATGGCAAGCGCCGAAGACTGGGTGAAGAAGACTGCGCAAAAGCGGAGACAGACCCCTCAGACACGTGCGTGCGTATAAGGTCGTTTGAGTTTGGACAAAGCTTCTTCCAGATTGAAGAACTGGGTGTACGTCAAACTTTGGAGGCCCCAGAGTTGCAGCTTTCGTTTTGGGCACCCCTCCAAAAAACATGTGATCCCAATTGAAATGGCCCATGTTTGCGTCAGGTATCTTGATTTCCGGAGCTTTGCTGAAGCGACTTGCCTCGTTTTGTTTTTTGGTTACAACCAAAACGCCCCCGTGCAGTGAGCAATCTTATCTTAGGCATTCCTCGGAGCTTCCCGTTTTTTTAGGTCACCGCGGGAGCGTTCGCGGGAGTTTCTTTTGGGCCCGACTTGCTGTTGCTTCGGCACAGCTTTGCGTACCGCCATTGAACCTTCTCGCTTGCGTGGACCCGCAAAGCAGATCCAAGAGGAACATTTCTCCTCCGAGCATCATCGTCTCTGGACTGGGAGGTGGCTTCGAGTCTTTTCAAACTACCAACAAGGGACATCTATTTGGGTGTCTCAAATCAGGGGACCCCCAAAACTGGTTTGGTTTTCTTTAAAACCATCCAGGAGACAGACCCACCCCTTGTTTTTCGAGTTGCGAGACTCAGGGAACTACAACTACGCGACGGTGATCGGCTGCCCTGACCTTTGCTACTGGGAGTCCCAGTACATTGAGCTCGGCGCTCAGAGCAACCGCTGCAGAGGTGAGTGGTGGAGTGTCAAAAACGATGGATGTGTTTTGTGTGGAGCTGTTACTACCAATCCTTTGGGGGGTTGCTCTGAAGGGAAACCATGCTAACTCTGGAAGGTGCGCAACATGTCCACCCGTTGATCCCTTACCTGTTCTTTTTGGTAGATTCCTGCAGTACCAGATTGCGATTGCAATCTCATTTGCAGCCACGCGCTTGCTAAGATCCAAGACAATACTCTGTCAAAAACACAAAATTCGTACCGAGCCTCCAAACATGGGCACCCAAGTCATGGTCAAATACAAGTTTCTCTGATTCTCTCTTTCTATGAATATCGTCAACATTTTAGTCTCCAAGTCAAAGTGGATATGATAGGTTTCATTCCCTTGGGGCGAAAGTACGGGATTGGAAGTCTCAGGATTCGGATGACCCGGGCGTCCCCGGACAACGGGGACGGGCTCTACGCGCTGAAGAGCTTCAACGTCTACTTCGACACCAACCTGGCGCATTTCAAGCCCATCACGGCACCTCTTATCTTTGGGGCATTTTGCTTGGATGTTGGGACTTTAACTTTTTGCACCCCAATGGGTTTTCCATCAAGCCACATTAAACCACTAAAGTTAAACTTCTAGCAGAGCAGAAAGCAACCGAGCTATGTAGCAGGGTTCCCTTTTCGCTGAACCCCGCCGGGTCGAAGTTAAGAATTTGGACTCGAACAATGGGAGGGGGTTGCTTTTGGTTTTGGTCGCTTAGGGTCCCTCTAGTTTTTGACACACCCACATGGGTGTGGCTCAAAATTAAACAGGAGGGGTTACGCAGGTTTTGGTGCATGGTTCCACTTACCTGGGTTGCATTTTGGCACCGGTTTTTGAGCCACACCCACATTTTTAAATGTCAGTTGTTGGTCAACGTTATATTCTCGTCTATGGTCCATTTGGGACTCCCCTTTTTTGCGCTCTCCAAGCTTGTTGGGGGTGACATTTCCCAAAAACGGAGGAAGGCTCACTGCTTGGGAAAAAGGATGTAGACCCCCCAAAATGGTTGGGTTTTCCTTCCCCTGTCCATCAGTCTGGAAACGGGTATTTTGAAAAAGGCGCAACATACAGACAGAAGCACACACACACCAACACCTACACCCCCACCCCACGCACACGTGCACACGTGCACACGACGTGCACACCTGCACGCGTGCGCACACTCACATGCACACGTACGCACGCGCGCACTCGCATAGTCACGCACGCATGGACTTATATACGCACACACGCACAAGCGCACAAACGCACGAATAGAACGCGCTCACACACACACACACACCCACGCAAGCACGCACGCACGCACGCACGCACGCACGCACGCACGCACGCACGCACGCACGCACGCACGCACGCACGCACCCACCCACCCACCCACCCACCCACCCACCCACACACACACACACACACACACACACACACACACACACACACACACACACACACACACACACACACACACACACACACACACACACACACACACACACACACACACACACACACACACACACACGCACCCACACACACACACACACACACACGCGCACGCAGAATCGCATGCATGGCACGCACGCTCGCACGCATGCATATTTGCTGTCATCGACTGCAGTCAAGGGACTTGTGGCACTCTCACCAAACGGCTGATAGAAAATGGGGTCGTTCACCAATTTCCAAGTCATTCTGGGTGTGAATGTTGACTGCTTATTTGAGCCACTGAGGAAACTACAGGCAATTGATTGTGAGATTGGGGAGTGCGAGAAGAGAAAGAAGGGGTGACCCTGTTTCAACCACAGCAGCGTCATTTTAGGAAACCGATAATTTGGCTCATGTGGAATGGTTGGGTTGGGTGTGGGATTGGAGGGGGTAGGACATATGACTAGCTTTGCTGTTAGATGTTCTGATTGTCATTTGCCCAGATTCAGTTCAACGATCTTCTATCTCCGCCACTTTCAGCTGTCTCGCCCAGGCAACGAAGACAATGCAACCTGGATGCACCGCGTGGCAGATAGTCTGAAAGGGAGTAAGTGCCCTCCTACCAACATGGTGCGCGCTTCCATGCTTGTTGGTTGCAGGGTAAGTGCCAACGAATCATAGGTTCAACTCCGTAGCAGCCTAATAATGACTACTAGCAATTGTCCAACATCGAGGGCCATTGTAAGGGCCATAGTTTTCTCACGGCTTCCCTGACATAAATGTTGCAGCGGACCTCTGGGCCGGGCCCCCCTGTTTCGACGGTCGAGGCCTGGCAACCCCTTTGCCCCGGAGAACGCCATAGACGGCGACGAGTCCAGCTTTTGGATGCCCGCTCAACGGGCCAGCAACAGCTCCCTGGCTTCGCATGGCTTCGCACCTGACTGCAAGTCTTTGGCTTCCATTTCGGGGTGTCTTGAGGGTGGGTCAGCGAAAAAACGAAAAAAGAACAAGAACACCTCCCGTTGTTTTGTGTCCCTCACATAGGCACGTGCGCATTCTGTTCGAGAAAGCCGACCAACGACTTTTGTCCCTTTGAACACTACATCAAAGGAGAGTTCCCCCAGACCAAGTTTCCTTTGCCTTGACGTCCTTCATTTCTATGAACACCTGGAGTAGGAGCGCTCAGCTTGTGTAATCAACAGCCACATTTGCTTTTGGAAATGCAGGCAACATGTGTGTGTGTGTGTGTTTCCTGAATTTGTGCTTTGGAGCTCCACCGTTTTGTTGTGCCTTTTTAGCCAACCTCCTTGGGGTATCCCAGGATGTGCTAGAACGTCCTGGATTGAAGACTGAACACAGGACATTCCCAGAGAAGTTCCTTGGAAACCTTCAATCCAGGATGTGTTTGTTGTATTTGTTTCTTCGGTACGCAAGCATCGACGCACATAAACCGGCTGACCTGCCCCCCTTGCCCTGGAGGTCCATGAAAGGAGGTTGTATTTGACAAGAGCTTCTAAAGATGGTGTTTCTGGAAATTTGAGTCCAAATAAATTTTAGATGGACTTCAATAGTCTGGAGTGGCTGTACTGAAATTGACACAACGCAAAGGGGTGAGCGTTAAGAGTTCCAGCTGTGATCGTGCCAGTAGGGGGGGGTGGGGATGATTACATCGGAGTCACGCGCGCTCGTTCGCAGTCACGCGTGCTTGCGCACCAAACACACACACAGACGCAGACACAGAGACACAGAGACACAGAGACAAAGAGACACAGAGACAGACACAGACACAGACACACACACACACAGACAGACACCACACACACACACACGTACGAGGGTTCATAGAGTTCCAAACGTTCCGGGAGTTCTAAGATTAACTGGGGCTGTTATAATTAGGGATACCGAATAGCTTTCAAACAGACACACCTCACCGCTTGAAGCTCAGTAGCTGCAGTTGTTCTCCTCCGTGGCGCGATGGCTGAAAGGTTGTAGAATAAGCAGCTTGGGTGCTGAAAGCATTCCATTGTATCAACAACATGACACAGTATAAGGTAGTGAAGCTGTAACCAATGACCGGTCGAACAAAACCTAGGGAGCCCTTAACGATCCTCCACCGATCTTTCAATATACATGTACAATATTGTATATATATATATATATGTATATACATACACACACACACATAGGTATATAGGTATTGATATAGATTTTGCTCTACTTGAAAGAGTCCAAGCACTAGCTGCATCCTGTGAGGGCTGCCCTGTCCTATCTCCAACCCCGTGAAGGTTGCTGTTTTGATCCCTACTTGGGATTTTGAACTTGGCAAGCAGTCCTTGGATGTCCTCCACAATTGGCAAAACGTGGATCAGTCCTAGGGGGTCAATTGGCCAAGGCTACATCACCTTCGACATGACGCCCGGAAACCCAGCGAATACTGCCAGCCCGTCCTTGGGAATTGGACCATGGGGTCTCAAGATTTGGGCGGGGTTCGCAGAATTGGGCATGCACGCGGTCCGACGTGAACAGTTATTGAAGGTCCGGCGAATTAGTAATTTTGGGTAGGCATTTGAGAACACGAGTGCATGACATCTTGCTTTCGTTGGAGAGATGGTATGCCTCTTAAAACTTGCTCGGTTTCTTGCGGACACCGGCTAAGGCTATCTGTTGCCAAGGGGAACTCCTTCTCATTCGAACCCGGGATCCTTGTCACAGCCAACACCAGTCTCGTTAACCCCTTTTTCCTATTTACAAACAACCACCAACAATAAAATTTGAAAGACATTGCCCATACGTTTGTTTAAATACCCAATACTAACCAATACTAAACTCTCTGGAAGCCAGATGAACTCAGCCAACCGCTCATTAGGGGCCACCTGGACGTATTCTTAACGTCTCCACTAGGTTCCGTTCATTTCTCTTCATAAGGTCTTACTCAAAAGTTGCATTCTGAAAACTGTCCTTTCAAAGTTCTTACTTAAACACTGCATTCTGAACAATTTTTGTGTGAATCAAACGTGCCCCTTTTTTCCAATTGGAACCCAATACTAAGCCACCGTTCTGGCCATTAAAGCCGGGGGTCCCTAATAATTAAACCCCGCCGAGTTGTTTTATTAGGCGGGGGGGAGGGGAGAGACCGTTACTATTAGGGAGATCGGATTGCCCCCTTTGATAAGCGGAAACGCCCAATCAAGGAAAGCTTCATTTCCAGCTTGCCACATGACTTGGGCAGGGGTCTCCTCAATGCGGAACTGTTTGAAAGCCACGTTGTATTTGCGTTTTTCGCCGGCTGTGTTGCCAAGCAGCCATAGTGTCAAGCTAACACTAGGCTATTCAGTGGAACAGGGCGTGAGACATAGACATTCAAAGAGAGTGGCGGGTAGAGACAGATACACAGCAAGCCGTTTACCACTCTGCACAATTGCGACCATTCACGCTGCCTAGCAGGTTGAAGGCGGCTTTTCGCGAAGCTATGCCGACCCCAAGAGTTGGCCACGATCCATTGATGGGTCAGGGGTAAGAGCCACTGATTCATGGTTGGCTGTTGAGCTTCAGATGGTGGAAATCTGACGGATTGAATGACTAATCCGGGCTCAACATGAGGGCAATGGGTGGTCCTTTTTAGACTTGTTTGGAAGCGTTTAATTCCTTTCACTTGGGTGTTCACCAAAATTAGCAATTGTGGTTGCAACTGGGGTAATTAAATTGGCGTAGTTGCCTAACCATTGTCATAACCTGCTTGTCTGCCTTACCTCCAAGTTGAAAAGGGCTTCGGTGCAAAAGGACCCTCTGAGTGCCAGGTACGACGTGCTGATTTGCGGCTTCACAGTGAACTGGGTCCGCCCGCCGGTGCAGTACTACGTAGAGCCTCCTGGCTCCAAGAGGGCCAACCGTTGCCAGCGAGTTCTGCGGACGACTGACTTCTTTCCTTGGGAGTTTGTTTGCGACCGATGTTTTTCAAGCTTCCATTTGCTTAGGAATATGTTCAATGTTCTTGATTTTTTTCCTGTTGGTCTTAGCAGGGAATCTATCACTACTGGAAATATTGTCATTCTTTTCTGGAGAATAAAGCAAATGAAGGGGGGAATTCCTTGCGTGTGTGTGCTCGAATGATTATGATAAGTCCACCAAGAGGAGGGTTTGGAGTCGCTGGGCGGGAGCGCTTGGGTGAAGTCCCTCCCAAAACCACGCGGCGACCAGAGCAAGTTGTTGCCCCGGTACAGACAGCGGATGGAATCTTCGCTGGTTTCTACATGAAACACCCTACACTCCCTCAGACTAACATGGAAGCTCCCAGAATGCATTTGTAAATGGAACCA